TACAGATATTCCACCAAAAACACTGGCAATCTGTGTAATTCTGTCAAAAACACTTCCACAGATTCATCTATTTACATCTTGTTATAAATTGTTCATAAGCTACAAATGAATAAACCACATATGCCATGTACAATGCTTCTTTTATCACTGAAATGTTTTTGACTCACTTAATTGTTTCTCTGCTGTGAATGCTAAACGAGATAAACAAAGTGAACTAAATCATGCAAATTTCTTTATATTGTATAAATTACATATGAGTTCAATGTTTTCTGTCCTTTTAAACACATTTGCATTACAGCCATTGAAATCGGGTATCAAAAGGAATGTTTCTGAGTGGCTTAAATAACTTGTAGTAAAGTTGGTTCAACAAACAAAAGATTTTGCAATGAAAACTTAGAGGGAACAAAAAAGTACACAAGTCTGAGGTTGATAACTCATCCAGCCACAACTTGCACTGAGCAAAAAAGCACAAACAAAACACTGCTGTTTTCTTCTAATTATATATCACATCTTGAAATGCCTCATCATTGTTGTTGTTGGGTGACACAATATTTGTTTACAGTGATGCTAATACAGCCTAATCTAACAAAAGGCTTCCATTTGCTTGATGTCTCTAAAGTAGCCACCCATCCCAGTTCTGATTGGATTTATTGCTGCTTAACTAAATTGATCACATGAAAACTGGTGCTTTTAGTATGAAGACTCTAAGCTTCATTCTTCTGTTGTTTCACTTTTTCTAAGCTTTGCTTAGACTGGCACAAGCTTCAAAAGTTTCTTACAGTATTTAATGTTACTTGTATTGATTTAGTAGGACAGGTCAGTTTTGGAAATATGGTACTATATTCAATTTGAAAGTTGAGGTTTGACATGATATATAATGACACAAAATATTTTTTTCCGAATTGATACCATTTTTTGATGAGACAAGTTTAAAGATTAAGTTTAGGTTCAAAATTGTAGTGTTGAAATTTTATTCTGGTGATCAATGAAAGCCTTACAGCACATCCTTATCTTATAACTATATAAAACTCTATGAACTTTGTATCTTGTGCGTTTCTCAGAAGTCATATATAGAGAGTTGGGAAAAGAAAGATGTAAATTTATTATTGCGTAGGAAGTGGGGGATGGAGCTGATTTTCTTACGAGAAAGTGTATAAAACACACAAAATCTGGCCCCAAACAGGATACGCACATCTGTCATGAAGGCCCATGCCACTCTCACTTGTGAACTTCATGACCTCATGCTAAAATGACAAACTTCAAAGAGACCGCTTCAGACTACTGCAACACTGTCCACAGTAAGAAACAAATTCTATCTCTTGTATCCTCTTTACTATGAACCACACACGTGTTGTTTTTTCACATAAACACACATATAACATTTCATTGTTTCTCACATATATACACAAAGAGAATTTATATTTTATTTCAGAATTTTATTAACCCAAACAAAAAGACATTACTTTCCAATCTATGACCAATTGCTTGTATTCATGTTGTTTTATTAATGTTCATTTGTTGAAACTACGTTGTCTTTTCTACTGAATTTCATTCTTTCATTGAAAATCATTTGATTATTTTTTAATGTTGAAAGCAACTTCAATAATTGCAAATAAGTGTATTTTTAAAATATCTCTACTTTTACAAACTCTTCATGAAACTAAATGTAAACAGTAAACACAACAAGGTTACAATTGTATATGGACAAGATGCAAGGCACAAACACGTTATTACTAAAAAAAATTGTGCCATTAAATTTTGTTCCCAGAGAGTCCATCTGTTCCATCATTTACTTCAAAGTTAAATTATACTGAATTTAGCCATATTATAATTTAATATATTCTACTGTGTAGTAGTTTTAGTGTGATTTTCAATAAACAATGCAAATTTCAAAGATTTTGTCCTATAATGTGTGCCCCACATTATTATGGTCTTATATACACGTTTATCTATTTTTTGTTTTCATTAATTATGATCTAACAAATCTTATTTATTGAGTAGACTTTTTTGTAATCTTTTATAATTTTTTACACAGTTTTTACTTATTGAATACAGTAATAACATTGCATATTTTGCTTGTGGTGATTCATAATTAGAATTCTGGTTTGAATATATTTTCCATTCAATGTATCTAATACAAAAAATATCAGTGTTATTTGGATTTATTCTTGTATTTCTGTACGTTTTTTCAGATGATGTTTAAACCTAAATGCTCAAAAATTGGTAAAAGCTATGAATCTAATTTTTGGTGTCATTACTTATCACATCAAACTCCAGCTTTCACATTGAGTACAAATGTTGATTTTCTAAAAAAAAGTGAAAAATCAACCTATCCTATTGATCAAGTTCAATTTTGGTGATCTGATGTAAACTAGTGTTATCAGTGTTTCTGAACTGCAAGCAAATTATTTATTAAGCTTAGCTTAGGACAAAACCAAAACAGACATGTATATGAAGACGATCACTTTGCAATGCATTAGTCTGTAAGATGAGTTTGTCAATTAATGTGCCACAATAATTATCCTCGTCCTTTGTCTTATGGGTTTAAGTTTTCTAAATTTTCATGTATTTTTTATTATTTAATTTGTCTTGCTTTTACATGCAAAATTTCTTGCATCTATAAAAAAATGTAGTCAATTACAATTGTAATTATTTCTTTTTTTATATATTATAAGAAAAAAGCCTTGAAACATTAAAATAGTGATTAAATTTTTATTTAGTTGTATAAAAAATCATTAAAATCTTTAAACAGTTTAAAATATATTTCCTATGGAAGACTGTACTACAATAATCAAATCATTTGTGCTGAGTATCCCAATATAGTTGGGTGTTTGAAAATGTCACAGATGTTTTTTTTAAGTTGAAAGATGATTTTGACTTCTCAAGTTTGGGAACATCCAAATCTTTTCATGACTTGTTGAATACAGTAGTTAAGATTTATTTTGAATCATCAAAGAATTAGATGGGAAGTTCTTGGTTTTCAGTAGTCTTAAAATTCCTAGTTTCCACTGAACAAAGTGCTGGTTTCTCATCCTATTAATATTTTACAGCCATTTTTATGAATAATGGAAATACCAGTCAAGAAACTGAAGTAAATTCTTTTCTTTTTTTCATTTTCCTTTTTAAAAATCCCTGTCTGCACAGTACTATATTTTAATTATGAAAATAAAATTTATTTAAATGTATAATAAAGAAAAACATAAACAATATAACTGTGATACATATTATGTTAATGTATCAATACTTTCAATACATAATGAAATCAAAGCTGAGGATAGTAAATAAAAAGTTTAACAAGAAAGCAATCAGAGTTTACAAATGGAAAAAAAACAGAAGAACTGATCCCTTCCTCTTAGTAGTTTGGAAAAATGTCTTAATGTTTCATCACTTCCTGTAAACTCTTATATAAATATGTCTGTCAGAAGAGAGATGCACAAAGTAGTAAAGCTACTGACTACCATATATCTGAATTTCTGTTAAACCAAATTCAATTTTGATATGCTATTACAAAAATCTCACAACTGCATTCTGATATACACTGATGATAGGCTCTTTTTTGTTAATGTACAAAAGTTGGAATATTTAAGTTTTTAAATCCATCTTCTTGCTTGTCATTTCCTACCTTAGCCCTAAACATGAGATGGCATGATGTAATCTGATGCATTACAGTTATTAACAAAAGTTTAAGACCACCTTGTAATTTTAGTATCTTAAGGTTAAAAACAACACAGTAACAATTTCTGAGAGACTGATTCAATTTTACTCATAAATTTGTAATGTTCTTTATTGATTTAAAACCAAATAGTACAGCACTCAGTAATTTGTATGACATCATCTGCTTTTGATTATGGTCTGGATTCGGCAGGGCATACTGAGAATCATGATTTCTTTTGTCCAGACTTCATTAATAGCTCCTCTCAGTGCTTCAGCACTTGAAGGTTGTTTTTCTGCAACTTTTGTTTTTGATAATTTCTGATAAATTCTTAATTGGGTTCAAATCTGGGCTATTCTGGTGGCATGGAGTAGCATCATGCATAAATATTGTGCATTGATGAATGTGCATATGCAGTTCAAGTTTCTTTAGTCATAGTTCAAAATATCTTGCACCATTCAATATTGTTCTCAGATAGTCCATCTCTTCCAGATTTCGATATAGAACTCCAAATCATCTGGTTTGGTGGCTGCTTCATAGTCCGAACTGTATCCTTTTCATCAAATCTCTTCTATTCATTTATATTCCAAAACTTGAATTGTTAGAGCATAGATTCATCTCAATATATAACTTTGCTCTAGTCTTCAGTTGTCCAGGTTTCATGTTGCTAAGCAAATGCTAGACACTCAGATTTTATAGCTGCAGTTAGCCATGGTTTACAAGCTAGATTCAATGATTTCAGACCAAACTCAAATCCCAGATGACATGAAACTGTCAAAGAACTGACATTTGTACTATTAGGAAGCAGATCAGCATATATCTTTTTACAAGAACTTGTGCTTTATTAAATGGACATCTCTAACATTGGTTTTCTTTGGCTGTCTATTTTTCCCCTTGTCTCTAAATGTCCATGGATTTTGGAAAATCATGATAACAGTGTGCACAACTGTTTTGCTAAAGTCTATTTTTACACTAATTTCACATTCAGAATAGCCGTCATCACATAGAACCACAATTCGGGCCCTTCATATAGGTGCAAGTAAGAGTTTTTGGACATATTCTAAGCCTAATTCACTACACAAATGGCTTCTAATTTGGCAATAACAAAGATCTTTTTACCAAAAATCATGTTTGAATAATGGCTGATGCAATAACAAAATCCCATATGATGTAAAAAAAGAAAACTTTTTATTACACCTAAGTTTCCTTAAACTTTTGTTAATGACTGTATATAAACATTATTGTACAATAAAGTTGATGCCCACTGATTAAGATATTCTTTGAATGTAATCTTGTGTTGTATTTTGAAATTTTTCTATTGAAATGAATGTGATATGAAATTTCAAAGGTTTGGAGAAAATTGTCAAGCGTCAGTGATCCGGTGGATTAAAAACTGTGAGAAGATAAAAAAAGACAGTGCTATTGTGGATTTAGGCTGTGGAAATGGAGCATTATTAATAGAATTGGTAAGTTAGTGTTATTTTATTGCATTGTAATTTGTTTACATATTTGATAATTTTGTGATTTTTTGTATATATTTGAATAAAAAGATTTCTTTTCATATTTATTTCTTTATAAAATGGTAAATAATAAATATTGCACTGTACTTGGTCACATATTTTTATAATCTTGTAAATAAACATTGCCAAGGGAATCAAAAGTGTCTACAGTAATAGCACTGTCAAGGGAATAACAAACTAAAAGCTGGGCTATTCTGATTGTTATCTTCCATTTGTGCACTATGAAATAATTCGATTTCATAGATTGAAAGAAATATGCTTTAGTAACAGACTGTTTAAAAAAAAACAATCTGTATTGTATATGTGAAATTAAAATCTTTAATTTTGAGCATGTGAGGATTTTTTTAGATTTGTTAAGGGGAGGAGGAATATTTATTGCTTGGATTATGAATTATTTTAAAGTTTTGTGAAAATTAAAAAAAAATTAATAGCTTTATTAATTAATTCCTGATTATACCTTATATCTGGAATTTTTTATTTTCTTGGTTGGCAGTCTCTCCCAACATGTTACATTGGCATGACGTATTTCCTCCTTCTATTTAGCCTTGTGCCATACTAAGTTAAGCTTAGTAAACAAAAAGATAAAGTTACAGAAATATTACTAAATGCAACCTGCACCTGATGAAAGCTAAAGAACACATAGAATGAAACAAAATCATCAAAACAATGAAAATGAGAATAATAGATTTAATTAATTAAACAAGCTTCTTATTTCTATTCTAGTTGACAACTTAGTGACCCAAGTTATGATGGAAAAGAGTTTCATTGAATTTGTTCCCTCAAAGAGTATAACTGAATTTGCTTTCTCAAAGAGTACCTTCTGTCTATTATATGCAAAAGGGAATGCCAATTTTTCTTTTACACTTAGATTTTTTTAATGCCACAAATTGATTAATTATGTAACCCATTATGTCATAGGGACATCACAGATACCACAGCCATAACAGCAGTGGTGTGTGTAGGGCAAGATTGCCTAATGAAGCCCATCCTTGTTCAGGCTGGTTTTGAATTTAGACTTTTCCTTGTTCCTTATTCACTACCCACACATCAAGATCTTTTTTATATATATGCAAATAATTAAAGAAATAAGTGATAATACTTTATAATTAACATGGAGTAGTTATTTTCCATAAAAAATTACTTTAATTTGAATATAAACACAGACCCCATGATATTATCATTTGGTTGTAAATCATCCAGATTGTTTTTTTGCATTAAGTCAGTACATTTGAGAAGGTATCTTAATTCAGTACCTCTGAATACAATGTACTGTTTCAGCTACTTAAAGAACTTGCATATGGACATGGATATACACATACAAGAAATCTGACCAGGCTATACTTGTTTGAAAAATTTAATTCCAGTTAAAAGGGACACAATGAGAATAAAGCAGTTTGGCCCAATTAAGTGGATTCTCCAGTTATGATATAAAGCAATTTAATATATCTTTAAATCTTATTTTTAGTGGATACTTGTATTTGAGTAGCGTGACACTATTTATCTATGGTAATTGATTAACTAATTAACCGTAAAAATTAAACAAGAAAATACTGAGAACGGAAAAGCAGATACCCTGAGATTTTATTTTTACTTTAAAAAAAAAGTTACTTTTCTCAAAAAACCAAAAATTGGTGTAAACAGTAATCTCACAAAAAGACCATATGCAAGCTTTTGACAATTGTTGAACCTCTTGGGTTTTTTATTTGCTTCTTTTCTTTATGCTTGTGTGATATCTTCTCCAGTTTAGGCTTATCTTACACTACGGCCTGATGCCTGATGATGTTTGTAAAAGTACTGGTTAAAGAAAAACTGAAAACAAGATATCATTCAAAATTGCAAGATTTTAGAAGTCAACCAGGCGATGAGGCCATATGTTGATTATAAAAATTTTGGCATGAGAAAATATTCCAAAATATTTGCTGATACCGGGTAGAGAGTATTACCATTATTTATTTTTCTCAAAGAAGCCAAGGGTTCGTGTAGACGCTAAACTCCACAAAGGGGACAAAATGTCGGGGTTTGATAATTGATTGATGATGTTATAAAAGTACTGGTTGAGAAAAACACAGAATAACCAAGCGTCGATGATATGGTTTTAAGTGGCCATGTGTTGATTATACAATTTTGGCATGAGAAAATATCTTGAAAGAATTGCCGATTTGAAGATAGATTTATTTTTCTTTTCTGAGAAGCCAGGTGTTCCTGCAAACCTTGACAATTGATTGATGTTGTTTGTAAAAGCACGAGCTAAGAAGAGGCAAAGTGGCCAGGAGCGTCGAAGATATCAGAGATTTTAAGAGACAGAGCCATGTGTTATTTGTAAGAATTTTTGGTTGGTGAGAACAAGAATTTTGTAAACAAAAATTCTAGTTTATAATTTTAATGAGGCCAGCTTAGCCATACCTGCACAGCCGGGACGCCATTGGTTGAGTGGTAGGCAGAGGTAATTTGATAAGAAAGATGGGGAAATTGTTAACGCCCACTGAAAAGAATTGATATGAGGTACCAATGTGAGAAGGAGGGAGTTTGGGAGGATAGCTATCCTGCAACCTCTCCTCACGAAGAAGGGATCCCCCCCAAAATGGAAGGTAATTAATTTTCCCAAAATGGGAAGTAGTCAATTTTCCTAGCCAGACAACCAAGAGATCATTTGTCAGAAATCAGGATTTACTGAAAACCCCAGGCTGTGTCTAACCCTGCATCAGTTTTTGGTCAGTGTCCATATAAGCGAGCACCTTCAGGCAGTTCACCAGTTGAGATTTTGAGAAGTTTCAGTTCAGCAGTTCGAGTAGCAGGTATCAGAGTTTTGTCTTGCAGAAGCTGACCGAGAGATTCCGCGACCTCTGACTTCACCTTTCCTACCGATAGCAAGTTATACTGATGAACGAAGCTAAACCAACACTTAAAAACTAAATCAGTTGACTTAGAAGACCAGAACTTGCCTAAGAAGTATAAAGGTGTCACTCTCCGAAGACACGGGTTGGGAGAAAACACACACACTCCTGTATATAACAGATGGATAAAAGTTGATTTGTTTCTTTCAACATACTTGAACCTCTTGGGTTTTTTATTTGCTTCTTTTCTTTATGCTTGTGTGATCTCATCTACCTAAGATCAAAATCACAACGTGGGTAGGTTAGACTTGAGATCGAAGTAGTTGCTTCGGTAACTAGACATTGGAAGTGAGCTGAGAATGATGGAGCTGGTGTCGGACCAGTTGCATCTGGTGTGAAGCCATTTGAAATCGACTGACCATCCCACTTGATACCCTGACCAAAGGATCCTGCTGGGCAGCGATGACCACTGATCGACAGGGACATAGGCTGGTGGTAGCGACTATGAGTCAACCCCAAAACGCTGGTAGGAGAAATATCAGTTTCATGCCGATGACTCAGTGTCACAGTAGATGCTATGCTTATTTATTCAAAAGTATATTTTTTTGTCTACTGGCTTGAATGTTCAAAAAATCTTATTAAAGAAAAATTTGTGCTCTTTTTATTTAATAAGATTTTTCACCATCCATTTACTCAAGCTCACTAAGTAGGTTATGCATTGTTGTCCTCTGTCTCTCTTGCTTAAAATCTGTCCTGTGAGTATCAGATTTTCCAAGCCCTCTTTTCTCATTATGTGCCTTAGACATTTCAACTGTTTCTTTCTGATTTTAAGTATAAATTTCCTTTTTGTTTCCATTTTCTCTAAAACTTTGTTGTTGCTCACTTGTTTGGACCATAGTATACTCAGCATCCTTCTGTAGAACCACATTTTTGTTGTCTCATCTTTATCATTGAAGATTGTCCAGCACTCACTGCTATACAAGAGGAGAGATATCACAACAGTTTGGTACTCTTTTGTTTGTTTCTAGCAAAGTTTTTCTATTTCTTTATACTCTGCTTAGCTTTTGGAATGCATCTTTGGCTATCCCAATATGCCTTTTGATTTTAGTATCATACTTCCTGTTCTCTGTTAAAACACTTCCCAGATATTTAAATTTCCGCACTTGTTTGATTTTGGTCTCTCTGATTTTCAATTTGCACTTTGGGCTTAAGAAATGATTAGTATACTTGATTTGTTTGGGTTTTTAAAGATTTATCTCAAATAACCAGATGCCTTGATTAATCAGTGTTTATGACAGAGGTGTCCAATTTGCAGTAATACCCTTGGGAAAAAGACAGGGATCTATATCTTCTTCATCCCTGCCTTAGTTATGAGTAAAATAGCAGAGCAAACTGAGCTCTCTAGTCTTGCTTGTCAGCCAGTCTTGATAAATGAATAACTTGACCCCATAAAAATCTACTGGCTACTGAGACAGTAGTCCTACATTCTACAAGGTATTTGTAGGAATGAACACAAAAATTGTATAAATAAGGTTGCTAAGATGTTCTTAAGAAACATTGTAAACTATTTATCTTTTTAAAGGTTCAAAATCTGAGTAGCAAAAAAAGAAATAAATGAAGAGAGATGATTTTGATAAGTTTGAGTTTTTCCTATTTCATGAATTGTTTAGATAATTAATTTTTTTTTTTGTGATTTTTGGTGTTACTCTGTTTCGGCTAATCTTCTTCAATCATGCAATCTGTACAGAATATGGGTCAGAAATAGATCCTTTTCTTTTTTTTATTTTATAGATCAATTCAAAAGATGTTGACCAATAGAAAACCAATGAAAACAAACATACTGATCAGAATAGCTTTATATCAATTTCTGTTGGCCATGATTTTTAATTTTCCTCCTCTGCCCTTTCCCATGTGAATTGTATACTTGAAGAAAACTGTAAAATAAATGAGTTGAACTATTAATAACCAAAAGAATGAGGTCACTAGTCCACTTGGAATGATGAATTTTAACCATTATTTCTTTTTCATTAGTATATCTTTCAAAATGTCTGAATGCCATAGAATTATGGTCTGAATGGCATATGAAATTAAGATATAATAGAATTATTGGTGTAGATTTTACAAGTTAATGAATATATACCTAGTGTTGTTCAGAAAGGGAATTAAGGAGCTGATGTGAAGACGTCCCATCAGGTCTAGTTTTTCTAGTTGAGAAATGAAAATCATTTAATTATAATAAAATGAATAAATATGTGGAATTGTCTGGATTTGAACTCATGTCATAACAAGGTTTTAACTAGTAGGGTCATGTAAAGTGGGGATACCTACCCTTTACCCCCACTCATCAATGGAAAAATAACACTTGAAATAAATCACATAGCTTAAGCTTGGTCAGATCTTGGTTAAAATTAAAAGTTGGAATTTTCTTTTTTTTTTAATTTTTTAACCCCATTCACTGTTTTTTCCTTGATTGTATATTAGCTGAGGTCAATTCAGTTAATCCTGACTGTGTCCAAGAGGAAGAAATCATCAAAACCCTTCCCTGTTATTATGCACATATGCAAATAAACTTGTAACCTGACCACTGAAAGGAACATATTCCTTATATATCCAGGCAGCCAACATTGACTAATCTGAAGTTATACAAAGAGTTTGGGTAGCATGAAGCATAAGTAGAAATGTAGCAAGAGTTGTTGACATCACCGCCCCTCTTTGCCTGCTACTCCACCAAGTCTTGTGAGATATTGCCCAAGAATAATTTCAACTGAAAAGATTTCCCAAGCCTCAGACTTTTCATTTGAAGACAAAGCTGGTTTGTTTGTAGGTCCAAGGTTGAAGTCCTCTGATTGAATTGTTGAACTGTTAATCATCCACCTGTTTGGGGCATTGTGGGTGAGTGTTAAGAGAGTTTATTTTTCTGAATGAAACTTCTCTGGGTCATTTGAGTGGTCAGTTGACCTTACAAGTGGAGTCCTTTCATCCGAGTATTCATATTCGTTGGTTGGCACCAAAATTAAGCTAATCCCTTGGCTAAGTTAGTTGTTGCCAAAATCTGCTTCAGTGCAGACCATTTACTACCCTCTGCTGACCTGACATGTAAACTATACCACAAAACACAGCAACTACCGATGAAGTTATTTTGAAGTATATCTAACTTCTTGCCAGTAATACCATGTTATTTCTCTTTTTAACTACTAACCAAATCACTAAAATTATAAAAGCCTTTCTTGTTTGCTATAAAAACTTTGCTGCTTTTCTGTCATTCCACTTTAGATGTCTTTATATTATTTCTTTTGTCACATGTGTGACAGTAGGGAAGATCGACCGGTAAAGTGAGACACTCAGGTCTACGGAAGGTGAGAGAAGGTCTTTGTTATAAAGATGAAAGAAATACTTATCAAAGATTTATAGTGGCTGACAAGGCTCCATCTAATAAAAATTCAAGATATGATGAATATAAAACATGATAAATTTTCATGCCATTTTTAACTCTGAAAATTTTTTGTTTTTATAGGCAAGGCAAGGCTTTTCTTGTCTCACTGGTTTTGATTATTCAGAAAATGCGATAACATTTGCTAAAACCATTTCAGCTGAAGAAAACTTTAATAATATCATTTTTGAGGTAAGTATTGGATAAAATTTAATCCTTAAATGATTTTAAGAAAAGCATAATGTAGTAATTGAAGGCATATTAAATCAGAGAATAAATCTACCAATTTATGAAAAGTAAATTTGTCTGAAATAAGATTTTTTTATAACAAAATATCAATCCTTGTTTGATAAGTTGGCATTTGAGTGCTTAATAGAATTTCAAAATCTTATTGTTTCATCATTCAAAGAATGTCCATTGTTTCTTTCTGATTACTAACTGGTGCTTAATACATGGTAGGAGTCTTCATAATGGCAGAGAGGTTCATATTTTTTCTCATTATACAATAAATGGGAAGATAGGTTTACCTATTATCTAGTTCACACTTCTCTCTGGTTTTTGAACAGTAGATGTTTATCCCATGTTTCCTGTTTTGGATTGAGTTTCTGGCTACTTCTAAAATCTGTTCATTCTATTTCACTCCCAGTAGCCCTTTGTATCTTAGTGGCATTATTGCCTTGCTTGGAGTGAAAATTGATTTAAAAAAAATTTTTTTATTAAGAGCGGGTTGGAAAATCATTTAAAACATAAAAATTTTAGAATTTAAGTAAAGAAATATTTTTAAAAATCACTATGTTTATCAAAAAATACAACATGGCAATTTTGGAAAGAATAAAATATAATTTTTTAAACAATGCAATCATAAAAGTGTGTAAATAAAAACTTGAGCCAATTATTACTGCTTCTCATTTGAGCTCTGGGTAAAAAACAAAATGAATAAATGAGATGGCTTTAATAAGCTTTTGGGGATTTGCATAATTTTCTATAAATAAAAGAAAAAGTAATAAATATTGGCCAACTTCTATTAGGCATCTAAGAGTGGGCTTTACGTGTTTCTGAGTTCAACTTTTATGACACCCAAAAATCTTTGAGTTTTGTTGAATAAATTTTTACATTTTAACCTTTAGCATTCTGCATTGTTAATATTACTTCCCTTTCCACTGCATTTTTTTCAAGGCCTCTCAATTGCAGTAACCTTATTGTTAATTTCACTCAAAGTTGTCTTCTGTTGTCATGGCAGGGTATCACAACACAACTATGAAATTCAAACACACTATTGTTCAGGGATCAGAGTCACCTTCAGTGACAGAATAAACTTTTTGTACAGCAAACGAAGTCACATACAGAGTGATAAAGGTTAAAATTTGTCATACTGAAGCATATAAATAAAATGATCATAAATATTTGCTGAGGGATTTCTATCAATATGAAGCAAACTGAATCTAATCTTTGTGTGCAAATAAAGATTAACATTTTTACACTCAAAATTATCTAGCCTTTTTTGGGTTATAGAGTTTGTGATTTTAGCCTCTAGGGTCATTAAAGCTTTGAATTTTATTTAAATTTGCACAGTTTCCTATACCAAAACAATTTCTAAAGAATTAATGGATTTTCTTTTTTAATCGGATATATTTTTATTAACATCTGTCTATATTTCTGAGATTAGATATTGTAACTATTTACACTGTTTAGACTGTTGTCTTCTTCTTTATTGCTATATTCATGACGTTTTGGCCATCTTCAGGTGATATACATTGGAATTTCAAACTGAGCTCTTTATTTAGTCCACTGGGGTAAATTGTTCTAATTCCATGTGCCATACCCCCTTTTTTTTTGTTGATATCTCATTTTCAGTTAATTCCCTTTAGTAATTCAACTCCAATTTTTTGTTCTCTCCCTATTTTTATTACTTAAAACATTATTTTTAGTGGTTTTAAATTGTATATTAAGGTACTAGATTTTATGAAAAAAAAAAAAAAAAAAAAAAAAAAAGATATTTTTTTATATACTCAATATCTCCTGAAAGAGTAAATAAAATATGACTTCATTCTATACAAGAAAGCAATGTATTACTATACTTTGTTTCTAACCTATGTCAAAAGAAAAAATACTCCAGAAGGATAAATTCTGATATTTACTTGGCCAATAGAGAATATGACATTGTGTTGCCAAGTAATTGTACCTGATCTAGTCATACAAGAATAAAAACAAATTCTAAAAGGGATCTTGACTTAAATGTTTTAATTCTGATAAGATGAATTTCAGATAAAGCATTTTCTGCTTTGGTTTAAAATAACGTCTTTGTCTCTCTTCTTTCTCTATAACAAACAAGTATTATCAGGAATAAAGTTTTAAATCCCTTGACCCTCATTTAGACCCTGTTAAGATTGATCATTGCCTGCTTGCTATCATTTGTGAAGTAGTTGTAAGAAGCGTTCACTCAACCACCATTTTCTGTTGATCATTGTGGTATACAAGGGATGTGACATTATATAAAGATATCTGGTGCTAAAGCAGGGAGGAGAGGATTCATGCTTCTCACAATGATATTAGTGTGAATACAATCTCAACCCAAATTCAGCTTACTGATATTGTATTCCATATCAGAATCAATACTATTCAGTTCAGCTTAGTATGGAATAAGGCCACAAATTCATGACAAGCAAGGCAAGTCTATTATTGCTTCTCAGGAAAAGGTGGGTGTCCAGTACACCTTCAGTTACATCTTACTCCAAGGAAGTCTATTATTATAAACAGAATTGTGACAAGGCAGTGGAGCATGTCTGTAAAACGAAAAAAAAAAAAAAACTCAGCTTGGAAGCTATACTTAAGTTCTCTAAATTGTCTTAATCTCAACTTATTACAGGATTCTTTGTTTTCACAAAATCACATGACTAGTTCCCATTCCCCACAAAAAAATATTACATACATAATATTTTGTCTTTGCATATCGTCAAATATTTTTTTAATTATTAGTATTGTACTCTGCCTGTTCACCTGCCAGCCTTGAAAGAATGTCGGAAAAGTTTGCTAGTCATAAGGTGTTGCCAGTGTAAGGGAGATAACTAACAGAGTAAAATATACAAATACATGAGACTAAAAAAATATTTATAAAATTTAGGAGTTATCAATTTTGTTTGGTGTTTAATTGTTTCTGGAGTGAAAGAGTTGAGATTAGATTGAACATATTGAGTTTTGCTTTATTTATTTATTTTTTAAATATAAATATTTTCTGATAATCAATGACAGTGGAAAAATCTTTACCTTTTTCTTTGTAGGTTGGAGATATTTTAAATGAAGAATCTTGTTTGGCATTCAACCAGAAATATCAAGTATGTCATGACAAGGGAACATATGATGCCATTAGCTTGATGTCTGATAATTTTAAACCGTTGCAAATGTCATACATTAAAGTTGTAAAAAAGATCCTAAATGAGGGAGGATTTTTTATTATTACTTCTTGCAACTGGACTAAAGATCAGCTTTTAGAACAATTTTCAAATGGTAAGTTTTTACATTTTACTTTGATTTAGCTTTACTTTCATGATCAGAGATGCTGCCAGATGTGTGTCCCTGACACATAAAAATCTAAAAGGATGCAGTAAGTACCCTATCTGTGGCCACACCTCAATTTTCCCTTGAAAAACAATACATTGTACACAACCAATCCGTAACAGTAAAAGGAATTTGTTGTTTGTTGATGCTAAGCAAACATCAGTTCAAATGATGCATCCATGTTTAATTTAAAATGTAGCTAATATATTTTTTCTGTAACTGAATTATTTGTCAAATGAACTATGATAGATTTCAATGGTAATTAATACCAAGATATTTTGTTATTTTTGTCATAGATTATAAAACATATTCTTTTAAAACTATCAGTGCAAACATTTTAGATAACAAGCAGACATATTTGATAAGATTGGCGGGGATAATATATACTTAATTTTGTAGTGTCTGTTCCAGTTGGCATGATAATCAAATGGAAACATGTCAGACAAATAACATCATTTTTCTAGTTTTGAACTCAGCATGAAAATAGAAAAATGAAAGTAAAAACCACTTTTTTTTTTATACTTTCCCTAAAATTTTTTTTTTTTTTTTTTAATTAGAAAAAATGACTTTTTTTTTCATCCCAAACTTCAATATGCCATGTTCTTGCCCTTAGTAAAAAATTTTTTTGCTCTCTGAATCACTATTCTGCCAACCATTTACACAAGCTCATTAGGCAGGTTATTCGCTGCTTTCCTTTACCCCCCAAATATGTACTGTGAGTTATAATTTTTCTAAATCCTAAAATGTATCCTAGAAATCTCAACTGTCTTTCTGATTCTAAGTATAAGTGCCCTTTTTGTTCCCTAGAACTTTGTAGTCGCTCAAATGTTCAGTCCATTGTATTCTTGGCATTCTTCTGTAAAACTACATCTGTTGCCTCAAGTCCCCTCTTCATCTGCAAGATTGTTCAATATTCACTGCCATAACAGTGCAGCAATCTTGTTTCTAATGAAATTATCCTGTTTCTTAATACTTTGCTTAACTTTTGGAAGGTTTCTTTCAATGCACCTTCTGATTTTGGTGTCAAATTCTGTGCTATGTTAAGATACAAAAATTTAAAATATCTAAGATGTATGTTTGAACTTCAATAGCAGCTTAGAAAAGGTCAGAGTTCAAGGTGGAAAGGTTTCAAGCAGAGAAAGCGGCACACTATTAAGTAATCCATGACAAATGCTATTGAGTTTACTCACATTAATTTGCTCATAAAACACAAACATACCTGCATCAGTTGATCTTCCACAGCGTATTTTTTGCTGATTTAGTTAAATTTTGTACTAAATGTTAAGTGATTGACTAGGTTAATATTTTCATCGCATTTGATTATTTTCAGACTAACAGATCTTGTCAATGTGATGTTTTTGTTCATGTGGTAAAATCAGCACTCTTGATCCTACTTAGACACTATTTATGTTGTTAAAGAAATATTTTCTTTGAATTTTGTATGATACATATGTGAAAATTGTGAGTATCCCAGATTAATTAGTCCCATATTTTTTAAACTAATTCAAGGGAGATTACGAGAAAATTTTGTCTGTGATTTTTATAAGAAAGCAGTCAAAACATCCAATTTATTGATTTAAAAAAAAAAAAAATTTTGTTAATTCACATGATTTGGTACCCACTTAAATCCCCACCTGTAGGTTCTGGAAATTCACGTTTTTTTTTTTAAAAAACACTTTGACTATCGATCGGGAGATAACTCATGGTAGGCAGTTATGATGTTGACTATGAGTTATCTCATGCTTAGCGTTTTCATCTGCAGGCACCAACAAGTTTATTTGCAGTGATACTTGTTATTGTGATAGTTATGTTAAGACTTCAGTTGTAGCTATAAAGTAGGCAATAAAAAAAATTTTATGAGTTAAGTTCACTTTTGAATCTAGATTTTGTAATTGACATCTGGCAGTTAACATGTTAGATGTCAATTGGCTTTATATCAAACGTATTTTATTTTCAAAAGTTCCAGTATTAGAGCAATATGCTTAATTTTCATTAGGTCATTGATCATCATAAATCTGGCCTTGAGCTGAAGATGACTTAGGTTATAATAGAAAGCGTGCGCATACACACACATTTTATATATATATATATATATATATATATATAGAGGACTTTTCCAAATTATGAACTTATATAGTTCAAATCATTAACATTTTTTTTTTAATTATCCTGCTTTGTTTTTCCTTCCATTATGATTGGTCCATTCTCTGAAATTTAAGTGAATGTGGCAAGTGCAATGCCTTAGCCTGGATATAATTCCTAAGAATATTAAAAAAAAAAAAAAATGGATATAAACTTTCCAAATACCATGTAATATGTGTGAGAAAGCCAATGAAAAAATATTGCTAAGCTTCTGCCACAGAATCTTTCATTTTGCATATCAAAAGTGTAGTTAAAATACTTAGTTTTTAGTAATAGAAAATATACTTTCAAATTGTAAAAAGAACCCCTGTAGCATAAGGGGAACTTTTCTTGTATATTAATTGTTTTTCATTTGGTTTCTTTTCTCAAAAGTCTTGCACATTTTGAAAGTTTTTTTTTTTTTGACAGATTTTCATTTTAATGAAGTCATTCCAACATCAACATTCCAGTTTGGAGGTTCAACAGGAAGCAAGTATACTACTTTGGTTTTAATAAAATAATCAACTGTTTTTGTGGTTTTGTTTTTCTTATCCTCCAACCCTCAAGGAAGAATTGGAGAAATACAGATTATTTTGAGAAGTCATTTGCCAGATATTAACTCAGTCAAACCAAACAAATCCCGACTACTACTGTGATTTTCAAGCCTAAAAGATCTGGGTTTTGGGACAATTTTCAGTATGTGATTATATTTTGTGGAAGGAGACTATAAAGTATAGGCTGAACCCAGAATTTTGAGCTAAAATTCTTGAGGTTGGCTTTTGTGTTGCAATTTACAGTATTTCATTTTTAACATAAGTGGGCAAGGGATCCAAACTGCAGGCAATCATGGGTAATGGTATTTCGACCAAAATTAACATTAACTCATCAATATTTTAAATTGACCTATTGATTCACAAGAATCATATTTTGGTGATTAGCACAAAGTTAATTTCATTATTGACTTTATTACCAAAGATTTTATATAGCTTTGTCCTGAACATGACCTAAAAGAAAAAGTTGCAGTGTATGTAGAAATGCTAAAGTAAAAACAAAAAGACAATCCAAAATTCCACAAAACAACATTTATTCAAATAACGACAAACCATACCACTGTGAGCTTTGACCACTGGGCTAGCCCTCCTCAACATACAGTGATAAACCATTGAAATTGGTAGAGAGAACAGAGTTGTATAGTCATATCTAAATAGGCTGTTACTGCAGTAGCAACAGCTTTTCATGAATAAAACCTGTATTGAAAGAGGGTGGGTAGGAAGGATAGCTAGAAGAGAAAAAGAAATTCAACTCCCAAACTTGGGGAGATGGTTTATATTATGAAAGAGAATAGCACTAATAGGAAAAAGAGAGTAACACTTTTGACTGTTGATATTAAGAAACAGTAGGGGGGAAAGTGTCACCTGGAATCACTTGTGCTCGTGGGCACAGGCAGGCAGGTAAGGAAAGAGAAAAGAAAGGGTCAAGATGAAGCAGATTAAGATGCACATGACTTTCTAAGAAAGATTATTCAAACATCAAGATTGGATTACTAAAACTAAAAGCAAGTAGTTTTGTAAGAACACATGCTTAAAATAAATGAGATTAGACAAAAGAGAAAAAGGCTTCTAGAAAGGCTGAATAGCAATAATGTTAAAACTTGTGCTTAGGAAAGAAAAATAAATACATTAAAAAAGAAAAAAAAAAAAAAAAAAAGAAGACAGAAGTGAAGTAATATTTCCCAGGTTGAAGTTTCAGTTTGTTTTTTTTTCCCTTGAAAAATTAATAGCAAAAATAAAACAAAGGAAATGGATAAGGAATGTCATTAGTCTCCTCTTACAGTACACTGTATGAACATAAAGCAGGAAAGGGAGGGTTCCAAGCCATTTCCCAAATATATTCAGTAGTGAAGCTACCCTTCAGTGATACATGCAAAGCCTACTTAGAAAATAGATAAATGAAGAAAAAAAAAAAAAAAACTGTAAATGCTTATCTAAGATTTGTTTTTAATATAAACCTGTCAATATCAAAATAGGTTACAAAATAACTAGGTTTTCATGAAAGCAAGCTCAGATATTAATACATTAAATCATTACAACTCACACAAAGTAAAAGCAAACCAGACTGGTGAAGTGAACCTAAACATTAATTCTGGCTTTCAATTCCTCATCCATTGTAAGTTAGCAATTAAAGTCAATATGAAAAATAGCCCCACCACTGATTAAATGAAAAAAAAAAAAAAAATTTTTCTCTTACTTTCATAATTTTTTTTTTCAGGCTAATGTCTTAAATGATAGCAAGATAAATAGCAGGATGGATACAAGTCATTAAATTTTTGACAAAAAAAAAAAAAATTTTTTTTTCTTAATCTTTTAAAAAAAAAGTTTTATAGATACTTGAACAAAATGACCAACTGAATTGTTACAATTTGTAATTGGAATGAAGGTCACCTCACCAGTCATATCAATATCATAGAAACATTTTACAATGAACCACATTTTTTTTTCAATTGCTTTAAACTAAGATTCTTCTTGCAAATCACATACTACTCATTTGTTATCTGAAATCTAAAATGTGATTGAGAAACCCTTGAAAGGGGTACACTACCCAAACTGCTATTATTGCAGTAGTGGGGGACATTTCATTGTTCTTTGTTGAGAGATAGCATATGTTTTGTTTAATCCAGATCAGCTGAAGAAATACAGAAGAAGCAAATTATGCATCTGACTTGAATACAAATAGAGAGAGTGATTAAATAAAATCAATGGAGGAAAAAATATGAATAAACATTTTGGGGATTAGCATTCTTCCCCCCCTCCCCCACCCCATATATTTTCCCCCCTCTAACACCTTTTCCCCCAACTAAATTCCAGCTCACCTAGAAAGGTTCTGGTCAATTTTTTTTTTTTTTTAATTTTATTTTATTTTTTTTTTGGATACAGTATTGTTTCCAAATAAATGTCAGTTATCATAGGCTAATTTTTAACATCACTAACTTGTACAATAAAATATAATAAAAGGTTAACTTTTTTTTTTCAAAAGAGCAGAACATTGAGTATAATAAAATCTGAAAAATAGACAACTAGATTACTAGTTGCATATGTCACCATAGTGAATGGGACATTCAATAGATCCAAACAAGTTCAGTATTTTTATCATCATTTTTTGCTTTGAAAAATATTTTCCCCAAAATTTATTTGAAACCTATGCTTCAGTCAAAGTATACTGATAACTCCTTTACATGGAGAAAATAAAAATCATAGCTTTCATAATTTTAGTAATAAAAATGAAGGGAAGTTGTAAAGACAAATCAGTGTCTATTCATAGATTAAAAGTCCAATATCATGAAACAAAATAGAAAGAATGCTGCTATAGCACTAATCTAAAATAATGTGTTCTTATGACACTTTAGAGTCTAGTCAGGTTTTTATATTAAGTGGAACCAAATTAAGTCACCAGTTGATGTTGGAACAAATTTTGGTAATGTTTGATTAACAAACTGATTTTCATGAGTGAATATAGCTTTAAACTGATATTTTCTGTAGCTGTGAAATATTTAGGATTTATTTCAATTCATATGAAAAAGGATATAGTGTATACCTTTGTTTATAAGGTGTCTACAAACAGCAGCTAGCTGGCAGTTTTAACTGCTAAAATCCAAGCCATGTTTTTTTTTTTTTTTTTTTTTTTTTCAATAAATGTAAGGAAAGCAAAAGGTTAAAAAGAAAACAAGTTTGGCATAAATCAATTTATCGGAACATTCCTAAAAGATTGGGTCTGTTCTTTTTTTTCTGCCATTTAATCTGGAAAGAGAAGGGAGAGGAGGACTGAACTGAAATAATTCTAATATGGAAAACATCACAGCCACTGTTTTACAATGGATGTAGATCATGAGCCACAACCATTAAATTTCTTTTAATTTTCAAATGATGAAAATGTTTTTTTTTCCTTTGTCTACATAATGTCATCAGCATTATTCATTTACTCAAATTATACAGGCTTTGTTAGGTTGTCTAGTCTGTGAAACTGGTGCATCAACAAAATACAAAAATGTGGGGAGCATAAGCAAGCAAGGAGACATGTTGCCTGCTCTTTTAGATACCCACAGACAGAATCATGGTAAAAGACCATTTGGAAATTAGTAGTTCCTCCCTACCAAGTAGTGCTAACGAGACTTGACAAATAAAGTTAATTGAAATGTCATTAGCCAGTAAGAATTTTAAAAAAATAATTTTATGCACTCAGGAGAAAATATATAAAGGGGAAGAAGAAAAAGAAAAAAAAAAAAAAAAAGATCTATACATATTAATGTTAGATAAAAAAAAAATCTATGTAAAGTTCAAAGACTGAAAAATCCAGACATTAAAGTCAAATAAAAATTAAGATGGTAAGCATTGGATTGACATTCTATCCAACAGTATAGCATTTTTAGTGTAACTCCAGGTTCTGAAATAGCAATTAAGAATTGGTGCAGCAGCAGTCGACTAACAATGAGGAAGTGGCAATGTTAGGAAATTATTTGAATTCTGTATCCATAAACCAGGCCCACACTTAGCACAAGCACCATTTAATTTTCCACCAACAATAGAAAGGGAAAGTAATTTCAGTTTAGGCAATTAAAAACCATTTGCTTATTGGAATAATAATAAAAAAAAAACAAAAAAAGAAAATAAAAGAAAAAGAAAAAAAAGTGATTAAGTTTGAATGCAAAAGAAAGAGCAGATTCTTGGCCAATATGTCCACGATGTAATTAAATGTTGATAAGAGGAGTGCAGAAAAGTAAATTCCATACTGCAAATAAGTAGGGCAGGGAAGCATTTTGTTAGTAGTAACTTCAAGTGACAGAAAGTTGTTTATTTCAAGAGGCAGTATACTTATTTCACGTAAACTGTTGACTGTCCTCGCAGCGAAAGCTCGCAGTGATAGCCAAGTCTCATTATCACCACTCGATCATGGCTGCTGTTGTCGTAGTCATAATAGTAGTAGCACAGCCCATCTTGCACGTCGTAGCTGCTGGTAAAGTAATCATCCATACTATTGTAAAATAACCTTTGCCAGCACAAAAACAACTGCCGTCATTGTACAAAAACAAATATGAAATGTACAAAAATAATACATTTCTCTGTATAAAATGCAGTCAAAAATAAATCAACTTCAGCCGTACTTACATAGGCTCAATTCCCTGCACATCTAGATTCCTGCTACAGCAATAATAAGCAATGAGATGGTGGGGTATTAAAGTAACAACAACGGGGTGCATGCCAAGAGTTTCCCAAAAATTTGCAGCAAAAAGCTAACATTAGACCATTATTTTGCTTGAGATGGACTTTGAAAATAAAAGAGATTTGGTCAATGAAGAAAGCAAAACATGGCATTGTTAGCTAATTGTTTTGTGTCAACATGGCATTAAAATTGCTAATGAAATTCAAAAAGGATAACCAAGGGGGGGACTTTAAGTGCACTAAAACTACATTATAAAAGTTATTAAGGAATAGGCTTACAAATTAGGGGGGGAGAGAAAAAAAAAAAAATTTAATAATTTCAAGCGGGAAATATTGAAATTTTGGAGACTCCATTATGCAAATTTGAAATAAATGAGTTTATTTTAGAGAGACATGATTGGATTTTGTATGAGGATGAAAATGATAGTCGAGGGCCAGTAGATGAATTTTAATGATTTTACTTCAGATGAAGTTTGAGTTTGTCAATATTGAAAATACATAAATGGAGAGGTGCAAGCAGAAATAGGATGGATATTAGGAAGAATTATCACTAAATATTTGATAAACAGGTAAACATTTTTAATTTAAAATTATTCATTATAACTTAAGGAAAAGAGCTTTAAAAATCTTTGGAGTATTCATTGATAAAAAGTTGGTTCGTAAATTTACAAAGTTAACATTTTTAAGAAAGCATTTTGGATTTCAATTAATTCTACAGTACTGTATGCAAATAGCTATACAAGTCAGAAATTGTCTTTAGCTGGACTGTCATCAAAATTTCAAAACTTTGATTTCTAAGAAACTGATGATAAAAATAATATTACACTTAATCTATTTTGAAAAGAAAAAAGAAAACCTTAAACAAAGATTTTTTTCCTAAAGAATAAAATTTAATTGGGTCTTGTTTTTTTTTTTTTAAATAATGTAATTTAAATCTAAAAGATTATGCAAACATGTCAAGTGAGAAGGGATGATAAAAGTCTCCAAGATTTCAGAGAATTGCAGAGAGTAACAGGCAACTGGGATGGTAAGGAAAGTGAATTCAAATGTTATTGCTGTAGCAGGAATAGTGGTATAACATGCACAAAGATGAAATTTAAGCCTTTGCCATGACAATATTTTCTGTTGAAGGGCTACTGTTTGTTTGTTCCTTTTTTGTAGCTGTTGTGGAGTCATGGCTGCTGCTGCTGCTGCTGCTATTGTTGTGATTGGTGGTTGTTGTGTTGTTATTACTTGCACCACCTTTTTTATCTTTCTGGCTTATTGCACTGTTTGAATTCACTTTCTCATCATCAGCATTGGTGTATTTTCCATGTTTGTCATTGTCTGAGCCAGATAAAAATTGATTCACAGATACAACCGCGGATCCAGATCTGAGAGGAGAAAGAAAAAGATATACAATAGTGTTAAAAATAAAAAATAAAAAAAATAAACCGACATAGAACTAATTCAGAATAATAAAGTTATAGAAATATCTTATAGATTTCAAGTCAACCAAATTTTAAAAAATGATTTTGATTGTGCTAAAAATTCCTAGTTTTCAAAAGATAACTTATTCATTTCAGTCATTACAGAAAGTGCCATTTATTGCATCTATTTCACTGTTTTAATCATGTCCAGTTGACATTACTTTGTAAACGAAGGCTTCAAAAGTAAAAATTGTTCTAAAAATTTTAAAGTAATTTAGTGCATCTTTTAAATTGAGATGTAAATTGAGGTGGTAAAAAAAAAAAAAAAAAAAAAATTTTATAGCTTACTCTCCAGTTATTTCTACTGTGCAACCTCTTCCACGGCCAATTGCAACTGCTCCTGTGCCCTTGACATTTCGAGGTTTATTTCCTGGCTTTGGACGGGCTCTTAGTGTACGTCTAGTAGTTGGCCGGAATCCTCGGCCTCTTGGAAAACGAGGATCATGCTGCAAAAATTAAAATATCTAAGTAAATAATATGATGCTAATGGAAGAAGTCTACTGGCTTCTTCAATTCCTAGAAGAAAAAAAAAAAATCCTTATTCTTGTTATTCATGAAGGTTAAAAAGTTTTTAATAGTAAATTTTATATATCAAAGACATCCTGCATGCATGCGCACAAACACACATATCTATCAATTTGTGTCAACAATGAAATTAATTTCTGGTGTATTGCATTTTTATGAAAGAAATAGCAAAAATGTCTAATTTTCTCCAAATAATTTGGTAAATTTGGCAAAATTTAAAACCAAAATTTGATGAAAATATTTTCTGAAAAGTTAAATTCCGTTTAATATTGTGCCAAAAATGTAATTAAGGCAACAAGAAAAAAAATCATTCTTACTCCAGTTCTTATTCCTCTGCCCATGCCATAAAGTGTTGTGGATGGTTTGCCCCTGAGAGCTCTGTTTGAAACTACCCCACGTTGAACCCTGAAATAAACAAATATTTAATTGCTATAAAGAAGTAAAGATTATTTCAATGAGGAGTCAATACAGAATTAAGGAGTAAATTTTATTCAAGATGCAAAGAATATTGTTACCTTTTTCCTGGTCCACCAACTGACATAACCTGTGGAGCCATATTGGAGGCCCGACCTCGAGCTGCTCCATGAAGATTTGGTCCCCAGCTCCCAACTACAACACCTGCAATCTCTAACTGTCCTCCTCTAGCATCTACTGGTGAGCGCCCTGCAAGCGTCAAAAAAAAAAAAAAAAAATTGAAAGTAAAATGCCAAAGTGATTTATTTAAAAAAAAAAAAAAAAAACACAAAACACATCTAGATATGTTTAATCCCATCCCATGCTGTATTAGCCAGCAATCCGCTCACCTTTATAGTTTCATAAGGTTGCAATAAATGTAGGAAAAAGTTCCAGTAACATTGAATATACTCTCCCACAACTTTTTTTTTTTTTTTTTTAAAGATGTTCTTCAGAAACATGTTAGATATAGAGTATAATTTCCACCCTTGAAATTCTTTACCTTGCCTCATATTCAGGATATAGGGATAGTGTAATGGATACTGGTGCAATCTGAAGTCACAGGCTATGTTATGTTTGTTTTCCCATTAATGCCTTTGAGAAAGTTATGAATGTCTCTCCTAACTCAGCGAAGCATCAAAAACAGAGTTCTCTAGCCTTGGGTGGTGACCAGTTCAAGAGATGGAAAGCTTTGAATTTAAACTATAAAGAAAGCAACAAAAAAAAATACTATTTTTCCCAGTGATGGATTGTATAAAAATTTAAAAAAATTGTTTTTACTTACCAAGAATGCCTCTTCCTCTGCCTTTATTTTGATTTTGTCCACTAGCCGGAACATTTGAAGGAACAGGAGAGGCACCTGGTGGTCGATGTCCATAATTCACATTTTGGTAAGGAGGAAATGAATAATTAGCATAATGGCCAGCAGCTGACAGTGGAGGTTTGGCAAATTCCACTTTTAAACCTTCCATGATTGCTTGTCGCATTCGTTCAACCTTAAGAACTTGGTCAACCTGTACAGTACATCAAGATACATAAATTGCCAAAGTCTTTCAATAGACATGCTAAATATTTATTCATAATTTTAAGTAGATTATATAAACCATTAAAACATTTTTTTCCATACTGTCTCAAAATATAGTAAATTTAGTTGTACTTTTCAATTTCAGAGATTAATTGAATTCTTTTATAAATGATACCTACCTGTCCATCACACATATCTATTAATGGAGTGTTATTGTTTGCTTTCAAGAGCTTGAAGTGAAACAACTTGCCATCAAAGTAAAGCCATGGACAGCACATGGTCCATGGAATTGGGGCTCCACAAATGTCATTGGCAAAGATAGCAGTTTCAATTCCAGCCATGAACAATGACGCAAGATGTACCCCACGATTACTGATAGAAGGAAGCTGAAAAAAAAAAAAAAAAATTTTTTTTAGAAGATAAAATAGAATATATTAATTTTTTTTCCAAGTATTTTATAGTTTCATTCCTACTAGTTCAACCTGATATATTTTGAAAAAGAATTCTGAGGTCAAAATAAATGAAAGATTCTAAACATACATTAACTGCAAAAATAGTTATATTCATAAAATATTGAAGATATACAAATACTTGAGCCTTACAAACAGCTAAAGAAAGTTTGTGTCTGGCATTTGAGTAGAATGTAGACCAGTGTACAAAGCAGGGAAATCATTCAAATGAGGTGTTAAGATGGTTTTATATTAAGCTAAATGTGAATGTTGTCTTCTATAAAAGCAATTCTATATGACTGATTAGTTTTACTGATTATGAAAGGGATAAATTAATGTATTTAGTTTTATCTCAAATTAGTTAGTAAAAGTGATTCTGTATAGGGACAGAAAATAGTAGTCGAGTCATTATAAAAAGAAGATACTTTGACATGCACAAGTGTGCTAAAATGATACTTGCTCTGTACTCAAATAACAGCAGGGAAACATTGTACACAACATATAACTGAACACTATCTTAGTAAGCAATAACTTTCCCTGTTTCCTTTATATATATATATATATATATATATATATCTAACCTCCTTTTGATTTTTAGATTTCTGTTCTATTATTTATTACTGTCAATGCATGAAGTATGTTCACAATAGGCCAACTTTACTCTTCTATTCATTATTGCTTCATGTTATATAAAAAGCATGATATAGGTACAAATTGATATAGCCAAGTTAAAATTATCAAGATAACTTAGCAGAAATTAAATGCATTTAATATAATTTTCCCCACCTTCTACCAATGTCTTTAAACACTATTAATGTAATTTCTGATGTAATATTTGTAATGGGTTAGAAAAACGGTTGTAGTGTTCCCTCACTCATGTTATTTGAACAAATCATTTTATTCTACATGTGACTGAAATTTATGACATATATACATATTTTGAAGATGGCATTTCAAGATCTTTCTATACGATTCATGTGAGGATTGTGAATTTTAAATGTTTTTACATTTAGTGAAAATAATTAAATTTTATTATTTTGTCCACTTATTTTTCAAAAAGAAAAAAATGCTGTACAAACAAAAGAGATAGTGACATAGCAGAGAGGACTATTTGCTAGATTCAAGAGTAACAATTTTGATCTGGGAGATCAAGAATGTTTCAGCAGGCTAGCATTGATGATGACCAAATCAAAATGCTAATTAAATATAATCCAAGTTACACAACATGGGACATTGCAGAGATACTCCACATTTCATGTGTGCACTGTAATGCATTTATGTGAAAACTTATGTCGCTGTGTGCCTCATGATTTAATGTACTGCAATTTTATGTTCAAATACAACAACAAAAACAATCTAGTTTTGTAAGGAATGATCACAGACAATTGAAGGAAGAAAAGAAAAAAGGGGATTGTTCACAACAATGTGGGGTGTAAATTTAAGCAAACTCATTATCAGTATGATAATATCAATTGACTTCTTCACACATCAGTTTCTTTAGAGTATATGATTAATCATAAGATAACTTCCCCAATACAGTATTCAGATTGAAGATCGTTTAAAAGAAGTGTTTTGCTAGCTCTAAAACACAGAGCCTACATTACTTGAGATATGGGGGTGCAGGGGAATGCAGTAATTTTATTACTGAAAATATTTATGATGAAACTGTTTAAAAAAACAAAACAAAAAAACTTATGAATTTTCTAAAAAGATTCCTTTAATTACAAAAATTTAAAAAATTTTTTTTCAATTGCACAATATTTTTATACACAGCTGAAAAGAGAGAAACATACAAAAAAAAAAAAAAAATTGCCTCTAGACCAAATGCCAAATTTTAGATGTTTCTTCTGATGTAATATAAAAAAATTCTGAAATGAAAAATCTCTACAGACTGACAAAATTTTATCCTTTTTAAATAACCTAAAAAAAAAAAAAAAAAAAAAAAAAAGCTGAAAGTATGAAAACTGGTGTAACCTTATCTAGTAAACCAAATGTATTTGTAGATATCTTTTGCTGATATAGCATGTAATATTTTTCAGTGTAAGGGAGACAACTCGTTATCACCCTTACCCTAGCGTTAACTACTATTTTCGTTGATACTGACACACACACAAAAAAAAAAAAAAAAAAAAAAAAAAAAGAGAGAGAAAAAGAAAAAGGGAAACCTGTTGTGATTTTTGATGGCAAAAGGAAAATAAAGCATTTACCTTTAGATCTTGCATAATCTGAATGTCATGAAGAAGAGGCGACACTGCCATCGCTAAGAATGCATCTAATTCTTGCCTTTGTAGAATTCTGCTAGTTTGTAAAATGTACCTATAAAGATGAGAAATATATGAAGATTAAATTATAAATTCTAACATCCTATTAAATTGTGTGATGGTTAATGAAAAAGGACAGTAAACCAATTATCTCTCCTGCTAAGGAGGAGACATATTTGTGGAGAAAGATACAAAGAAAAAAGCCAATGCATACCTGTGAACACAGCACATTAGGAGGAGGTGTTGTGGAACATAGCTTGTGTTTAACATGAGAGGGGTATCACTTTTCAGACAGGTCAGGAATGCTCTCAGGCGCCGATTTTTATCATCAGCTTGTTGTCCTAACCAAAGACGCTCAATGCTTGGAGTCTTCCAGTCAACTGGACGTGCCATCACTATGTCACAGTGTGTTCCAGATGTGCCTTTACGAATCACCCATTCTTTTACACCAACTTCAAAAGATTTGTCACCTAAGGAAACAAAAAACAAAAATCTGAAATGATGCTTGAAAATAGAAGAAACATTGAATGTTGATTACAGGAAAGTACAAACCCTGAAATGTGAAATATGCATATTTTCTCCAATATTTTACCAATCTCGAATTATTGAACCATTTAAATAGAAGTTTTTTTAAATTTAAATAGTTTAGAGCAGTAAACAATAAGTGGGGAAAAACCATATTGCTCACAGATAATTAGCCCTGGGCTTCAAGTGTAAATTTTTTTAGAGGAAATTACCAAGTGAAAAGTGGTACAATTATACTAATGCATCCCAAACGTACGACTTTAAAAAAAAAGATTGTGCATAGATTTTTTTTTTTTTTGTAAATGTTAAGCATGTATTGACAGTGTCTTTTTCATTTCATTTTTGAAAGGATTAGATTTAGTTTTCAATAATTTACTAAGCATTTCCTTGGTTATGTGAAGTTTTTTTTTTTTTTTTAGATATTCCCCACAATATTTTTTTAAAAAATTTATTAGAATAAATAGAGCTGCATAGAAAAAGATGACTGCCTTTTCAGTCTTTCTTTTTCTACAGAGAATTAAAGGGATTACTTAGATACAAAGAGTGAAATATTGGTTGAATAAAGTTGTGCTTCCACGAAACTGATCAGTTGCCAAATTTATTCTGGTCAACATAAAAAATATGCTATTTTCAAAAGCTTTGTCGGTCACAATGACTCATCTCATGGGCTGCATTTTGTGCAGACCCAAGTTAGAGTAAAGTATTAAAATTGAAATTCAATAGAATCAAATCTCACCTTTATCTTTGTTCTGATTTTCATGAATAATTTTCAGTTTGTTCAAATTGAAAAGTACAGAGTAAAGAGTCTGCCTAACAGGTCGGTAAAGTTCAATATAAGAGGGTAAATCTCTGGTGACATCATCTTCAAGACAGATTTCTAATTTGACTTCACCCTGAAAAGTAATCACATGGAAAATGTAAACAGACAATTGTTACTAAAATAATAAAAAATTTCAACTTTATTTCTTTCTTATATAAATAATCACTAATGCTGTGTATAGTAAGGCACTTTGACATTACATGTAGGAATGAATGGGTAATGTAAGGGTATGTCTTATCCAGAGGATAACCAGAACCACTTATCTTTCTTTCACTGGTATTCAGGGTTGGATTATCCTTTAGGCTAAGGTCCCTCAAGTTTTTATAAAGCAATGATTTTATTTTAGATATAATTTCTAGTTTCATAAACTGAAATGATATCAATATGACACACTTGTTTTGACTGTTTTATTGTTATAATGTTGGTTATAAGTTTTTTTTTTTTTTTTAGTTGAAATATACTAATTTGGTTTGCAATAAATAGTAAAATAGTGGTATTTCTTAAATATTTTTATGGACAGTTATTCTACTTTATTTAAATAATTTGCAATAAGTTTACTTCAAGCTATATAAATGTCACTAAAATATATCACGAATAAAAAAATATTTAAAAGGATGTGGGCAAGTCATAGTAATTCCGCCTGAGTGTAAACCCCCCCCCCCCTAGACATTTTCATTAGCCCTGCTTGTATACCATTCAGGTCCAGTGTCAGCCATAATCTCAGTACTGTAGTTTGACCTGTGTCACTTTGAGTGTTCTTTGTTTCCTAGAATGATGACACATTCTTCTGTTACTATTTTTTGATCCATTCGTGTACATAATTACTTTATTATTATTTGGAAATAATCTTGAAAGGATTTGTTTTAATTTGTTCCACCAGATCAAATAAAATATGAGATTGCTTTACCGACCAGGGCAAGGTTTTAGAAATGGTGTATTCATGCAACACTCATTTTGGTGTGTTCTATTCAGGATATTTTAAGGTTGAATTGCTTAATAGCCTTCTGCTCTTTATCAAATATGGAGATATATTGAACTTGAAAAACAGTTGTAGAGGGAATGGTGTGATGTAATACTGGAATGATAATTTGCCCACCTAAGATCTAAGTGGAGAGATTTATTGTCATCAAATGTAACTGTGCATTGGAGAAAGCTCTTAGACAGATTCTAAGTCCCTGGTGTATTGGATAAGCTGTAGTCTATTAAGATATGATTTATGAGCAGAGTTGTAGATAGTACACCCATAGTCCAGATTAATACTGAATGATTTGTTCTTCCTTCTCAATCCATCCCTAATACAACTTTTAAGAGGTCTGAGGCTTGTTGGCACTTTTGTTGCAAATAACTGATATAGGCTTTGAACTTTATTTTATCAAATATTATCCTTAGGTATTTTGCCTATTGAAGAACTGGGATATTGTAATTATTTAAGTTGAGGGTCAAGTTAGCATTTATTGCAGAAATGCATACAGGTAATATATAACACACACACACCCATATAGCGATGTGCATTAGGTTCCCTTGATTAAATATTTGATATTTTGTACTAAGATTTCAATTTATTTCTCTCTAAAAACCAAACTAGACAGGAATCAATCACCCTTTCCATAGTTTTGCATAGTTAGAGCTATATTTCTCAATCATTGTGGGTAATTTATGAACAATTCTATTCTTAGGACAATTATGAGCTGATAAAACCTTATGATCTCGTAAAGTTAGAGACTAAATCTCAATCATAAGATCTGAAATTGAGGAAAATATTATATAGTCTTTTTTAAAATATAAAAAAGCCTTCAGTCACTATACTGAAATATCTAATACTTTTTAAGTAAATAGTTACTGAATTATCCCCTAGTTTCCACACTTAATTGAAAAATCACATTTTCAATATTGGAAAGGGCAATTTCAAAAACAGAGTGTATATATGTACATACAAAGAATGAATTCCACATGAAATACAATCTTCTATTAAAATTTAAAGTGCACCCCCAGTATTTTAGTTATTCTACGAGTGAACCTGGAAAAAAAAAAAAAAAAAATGTTGAGAAACACTGGAATAGAGAGATTGAGCTGGAGTTGGTTGGATTTGTGGTATTTTTACCAGATTTAGGAATTGGAATAATTGTAGCTAAGCAGATTCCCAAATGTTATAAAAAAAATACACAGCAATACTAGAAGAAATTGATAGATTTTATTAATTCCAGTACTATTATGACTCGTTTATAGTTGCCCAGTGTGTGCTTTCTTTTTGAGGATGCTATATAGTTACCATCACCTGATATGAAATTAAGCTTTTGATTTTCTATTTCGTAAGAAAAAAAAGAAAAGAAAAGGGGGGGATGAGTAACTATTGCCTAAGGAATAGTGACTATTACTGCTGCTGATGCAAGATGCTCCGTCAAGATGAATATAGTTCTGTTTACTGGCATGTTTGTCTAAAAATAAATATGCCTAAATTTACCTTCACCCCTGCCATGTGCCATTGGCGCACAGCAAGGATGAAGGCTTAGGGGTAAAATCTCCAACTAATACCAAATCAGTTAGGTTCTGATACTGGCTTGAGGCAATCGGATGTCTAGCAACACTGAGGAGCTGTGAAACAGTGTCTGTGGATGACAATATATATTGTGATAGGGAGAGCTCAATGTAGACTACAGAGCATTATAATGATAGTCTTATTTCACACACACTATATATATATATATATATATATATATATATATATATATATATATAAAATATCTTTAGCTCATTTAACAGAAACTATTTTGTATCTACTTACTTGAGATAGTAACTGATAAACCCAAGGTGACATCAGTCCTTTTTGGTGTCTCTCACTGGCAATACGCATTATTTCTGGAGATATCTGGGGTAATTTAAAGTCCTTATCATTCTGTGTGTTTTCAGTTTTTCTTTGTCCCTATAAAAAAAATAATAATATATTCATATTGAAATCATAAATGACAACAAAAGAACACTGGAATAAATATAGCATTAAACTTTTAAACATTAGATAAAAAAATGATATTAAATAAAATGAATGCTGCTTCCTATGAAAACTCACTTGTGTTTGTGTCCATGTATTGTCAGCTGCATGTTTTTTGGAATCTCCTAAAAGAGAAAAATAGAAAGGCTCACAAGTTGAAAATTTTAAAAGCCCAATTCATTAATACAGAGAACATTTCGTTGAATGCATTTTAAAAACATGAAAAAAAATTGTACAAATGTCTTATAAAATAAAGAAAGAAAAACGTTCAAAAGATTTCATTTTTAAATGCAAATCATAAAATAATTACTTTGAATTATGCCACCAAATTTTTCATAGATACTTAAAGATATTGCATTATAAAATTTAATATTTTTCAAAATCCAGTTGATAATATGAAAATAATTCTATATATCAGTTATGCAGTGTGATTTTTAATAAATGAGGTATTCTGTTGATATGGTAACAGGAAGCCTCGATCCCAACAAACATGCCACAAAAGTAGTGACAATTTACCAATATATTGCTTTTTATTTTTTGTGTTAGCTTTCTTCAGATATCTTTTTAAAAATTATTTATAAACAATCCTTTCTTGCAACAGTTAACTATTTTGTTTTAATAGAAAATGTTGGTTACTCATGCAGAAAATATAAACAATGCAATTGAGAAATTTGGCTGTCATAATGGGTTCTTTATTACAAGGTACAATAATATTTCAGAAATATTGAATTTAATTATGTAGCATTGTTATAAAGTCAATATAAAGAAGTGAGGAGTTCCTCTATTGAAATCTTTTAGAAGGATTTGTAAGATTTTACAAATAGACAATGCTTATAAAGATTGTCAAGATAGATTAAAAGATTTAATAGGGAGTACTTACCGGCTTGATCAATGTGATCTTGCAAAATTTGATTTGGTGGATCAATAACTATTTGTGGGTTGGCAGAATCAGCATATCCAGAGGTTTCCTATATATAAATGAATATAGAAAAACTTTGTAGTGAGAGTTCTTAGCAGAAAATTACTTTGTAGTGAGAGTTCTTAGCAGAAAATTAAAACCAGAGCTAAGAGGAGAGAAAAAAAAAAGTGAGCAAGAAAGTATTACAAAATTGAAATTAAATTTGCTAAATACTGTTTTAGCACATACACTAAAAGCAACATTACTTACTGTTGTATCTTTTCTATTTTGCCCATTCTGCATGGCATAACTGCTTGTTTGTCTAGGAAGACCAGTTACTAAAAATAAAGGTAAAAAAGGAATTATTTTATTAAAAAATGGGAAGAATATAGACTACATTACATTCATTTTCCCATGAGATTTGTAATGGTGTTCAATAGGCATTGTCAATTTTCATCACAGAATTTGTACATTTTAACTAAAATAGCTTATGAAACATGTATAAAGCTTAATTTTATGGTCTATTTTTATGTTATTCAAAAGCAGAAAAAATAGAAAGGAAATTGATATAAATATTCTTTCTATATTTTAAGAAGAATCAAAGACATTTGCATAAAAGTCTCCTTGTGAAAACACCATAAAATATTACCTTTTGGGATAACAAAAAAATGTTCTTAAAAAAAAAAAAAAAAAAAAAAAAAAAGAAAAGTCAACCAAATCTAATTATTTGATTTTAAAATTCTTGACATTTGCATAAAAAGAATATATTAATGGCTTCCAATCCTAAGCTTCCTATTACCAACTGGTGCATGGTACTAAGCTGAAATCATTAATGCTCACTCACATGATGCCAGTTCTTTATTAGATGAATTGATTTGAATATGTGACAGGCTAACCTAGGTACCTCCACGAAATCGCTAAAAAAAGAGCATAGCTTGATGAAAAAGACGCCAACCTTGCCGAAAACAAAATTTTATTGTCTAAATGCTTATGTTATTATTAAGAGGAAAGACCAAAGTTTTTTTTTTTTTTTTTAATTATTTTTAAAAAAATTTTTCTTTTTAGAACATTCTAAATTTTGATTAAAAAAACCTTTTTTCTATTTGTATCAGCGGAACTAGTAAATAACAGACAATTTTTAGTACGTTTTTTTGGTATGACACACATTAATTTGAAAAATCGTGCAAAAATAGAAATAATTATCGGATGTTAATGAAACTTTCAGGAACTATTAACAGATGATCGAAATTATTATAAATATGTTTTTTTTTATGAAAGTCATGGTAGAAATATTTTTTAAAAATATTTATTACCCCCCCATAACTAAAATTCCGGACGTGCTAGGAACGATTAAAAAATGGAAAAAATACCCCAAAAATACTTTGACCTTTTCTCTTAATAATAACAAACATTTAGACAATAAAATTTTGTTTTCGTCAAGTTTGGCGTCTTTTTCATCATGCTATGCTCTTTTTTTAGCGATCTCGTGGAGGTACCTAGGCTAACCCATACAAATTGACCATGCCACTGATACTATGTTCTCACTTCTGCCAAAAAAAAAAAAAAAAAAAACCCAAACAGGCAGCAACTTTTTTTTTTCTGACAGTTTAGGTCATTACTCAACTCTTCACTACATTACACACATTTCTTTAATCCCTAAAGCAAGTTTTAGCATTTAAAATACTATAGGCAAAAAAGTTGATAACTTGCTTTGTAAAGCATTTCAAATGCAAAACTATGGAGAACAAGAAATTGAAAAGCTAATTTATTGATAGAATTTGTTTAGAAGTCAACACAAACAGTTACTTTAAAGATGATTATTAGTGCTTGACTAAGCAAAGATCTACTGGATCCATAAGATGGATATGAATTCCAAAAGTTTTCAACCAATGTGCTATATTCACTTAAAAAATTTGACAACTTCTGCTACTTCTCTTGGATGGTCTCACCAATAATTTTTGATAAGACTGGAGTATTATTAATAGAAATTTTTAAACATATCAACAACTAACAAAAAGTGTTAATACTTACATTTTATTCTTGGTTTGTATTTAAGGAATCCATCTTGAGTACCATTCAAATAATATTGGACACTTTGTTTTAATCTTGCTACAAGTTCTTGTTTGTTTTTATTTGAATTCCTAGAGGAAAATAAAAAAAATGAAAATAAATATGCAAAAAACTATAATAGAAATATTAAAGAAAATTTCTGATATTTAACAACTGATAAACAGATTTTAAATAATTAATCAAAAGAATAAGTACAATTATCTTAAGTTTCTGGAATGCTACTACCATCCTAAGATTAAAACAATACATCAAGTCACAGTGAAAATTTTTTCTGTAAATTCAAATAAAACTTATAAACAATTCAAGTTTTTGTACAGTGATAATGTAATAAGAATGAAAGCTTTGATTTTTCTCTGTATATTTTTTTTTATAAGGGAATAAAAAGGAAATTTATACATTTGTAGAAACAAAATGGCATAAAAAATAAAACCATCTTGGAAAACGATCACACTTTCAAGTAAAAAAAAAAAAGAAAAAAGAAAAAAAGAGGATGAATGACACTAAAAAATTGCACTGAGATCCCAAAGTCTCAAATTGTTCCAGTTCTGAAATAAGACAATTACTAGTTTTGTTTCCTAGTAACTGAAATGTACTCTTTGCTATTTAGCACTTGCATTACCCAAATAATCAGTATGTATTCATTATGAGAGCCGCAAAGTTAATCTGAAGAAAACTGAGGTTCCTAACAGAAACTAATCCAATTGCTAACATATAAATTACAAATCTTTTCATAGACATTGCAGAAACGTGTGTGTATATATATATATATATATATATATATATATATATATATATATATACATACACACACAGTCAAAATCTTAAGGCCAGTTACAAAAGTGTTAAAAAAAATATAAAATACTGTTACTTTAATTGAAATATATTTGTGAAACATTTACATTTAATTAGAAATTGTAGTTTATCAACAAACAAGTGACAAATGTTAAGCTTTTAATTGATTAATTTAAAGAAACATTGAAAAAATATTTTTTGGTTGGTCATAAAGATAAGACTATGTATGGGAAAAAAAAAAAAAAAAAAAAAAACTGGACAAAAATTTTAGAACTAGTCAGTGTCCAGCATTAAGTTTCAGATTTTTAAATAGCTAAGGGTAAAATTTTAAAGTTTGAATAGGAAAGGATTATTGAACTTCAAAGACATGGTCTTTCACAACGAGCCATTGCAAATAAAATTGGTTGTAGCAGAACTGTCATTGCTAACTTCATTAAAAATCCAGATCTGTATGCTTAAAAAAAAAAAAAAAAAAAAAAAATCAAGCAGTCGCTCCAATAAAACTTCACCATCTCTAGACAGATGCATTAAGCGAGAAGAGTGATTCAAGCCTAACATCAAATCAAATTAAAGCAAAGACAGATGCTAAATGCAGTTATTGAACAAGTTGACAATATTTAAATAAGAACGGGTTTAAGAATGTGAAATGGCTGCAGAGGCCTTGCCTTCTTCCTCGTCATAAAACCTCCCCTTTACAATTTTCTTTTGATTATCAAACTTGGGACGTGGATAAATGAAAGAAAGTGTTGTTTTCAGACAAGAAAAAAATTCAATCTGGATGGCCCAGAGGGTTTTCAGTGTAACTAGCATGTAAAAGATGTCCCCAAAAGAAATTTTCTCAACACTACACGGTGGCGGTGGATCAATTATGGTCTGGTGTTCATTTTCGTACAATGGAACTCTTGAGTTACAGTATGTAAAATGTTGTCAAACTGCTAGCTACATTGACATGTTAAGAAAAGCATTGCTAATTACTGAAGGCTTGTGTCTATGTGGAGAAAACTGGATTTTCCAGCAGGACAATGCTGCAATCCACAACGCTTGAAGGTCAAAGGAATTTTTTTATGGAAAACAACATTCAGCTTTTGAGCCATCTACTGTGCTCCCCAGATTGAAACCCAACTGAGAATGTTTGGGGTTGGATGGTAAATGATGTTTATAAACATGTGTCGCAATTTGAAACTGGATGCTCTTTGTGCTGCAGTTTATGCATCCTGGGCGAGCATCCCAAGCACCCCAATGCAGAAGTTAATGAATATGCTAAAGCAAATTTTCCAAGCAATTTGCTTATTTGTTCTGTATTTACTATTTTTATTTACATGGTCTCAACTTTCTGACCAACCAAAAAAAAAAAAAAAAAAAAAACTTTTTCAGTGTTTAAATTAATTAAAAGCTTAAAATTTTCACTTGTTTGTTGATAAACTACAATTTCTAATTAAATGTAAATGTTTCGCAAATATATTTTGATTAAAGTAACAGTATTTTACTTTATATTTTTTTTTTTAACCCTTTTGTATCCAGTCTTAAAATTTTGACCAAGTTGCGGCCAAAATGTTCAGAATGGCAGTTTTCATCAGAAAAGTAGGTATAAGTTTTTATCAGTAAATCACTAAATCATCCATAACTTTTGTATTATCCTCTCAAATTATACCAAAATCTCAGACAGTAACAAATAATATCGTATTTATTGTCTGTGAAAATTATAGAATATAAAACATTGATAAAAAATTATACCTACTTTTTTGACAAAAACAATGCCATTCTGAACATTTTGGCCGCAGCTGTACACATACAGCAGATAAAATGGAACCAGTGAATGGTATATCCATAAGTCTATTGACAGAATTTTTCATCTATTCTAAAACTTAATTGAACAGATTATTTTTCAAAATGGATTTATAAAAAAAGTGCCTTAATCAAATACAAAATATTTAGAAAGAAAATTAAAACTGACTGCTCAGTTTTCTTTTATTGCAAATTGGTAAAGTTGTGATTGCAAAATTTAACAAGATGCCAGCTTTGTTAGCCAAAAACCCAAAGGAAAGAGAAATTTCCTATGAATCATTTTGACAATTATTAAAAAACAAAAACAAAGGACAAACAGTAAAATGTGAATTAAAAAAAAATCAATACACACTTAAAAATGTCATCTCCAATAGCATCCAAATTGTCAACTGATGGAAGTTTTCTAACATAATCAACCACAGCTTTAATAACTTTTTCTGGCGTGAGCTGAAATAGAAGCCAAAATTTTAAACTTAACAAGGCATTAAAAACTCATTAGTGATATTTCAGCAATGATATAGTTTTAAAATGTTGCTTTACTTCAGACAGTTAACAAATAAGTTTATGGAAACAGACGGAGTACCAGAGTAAAACTGTCGAAGGTTACTATATATCTAGGAGAGAAAAAAAAAAAAAAAAAAAAAAAAAAAAAAAAAAGGACATTTTGGAATCAAAAATTAGTATATTGAAATATCATCTTTCTGATTTTAATTCAAAAGTTTCTAAATATTTTGTTGCTAAAAAAGGTTTTAGAATTCACAATATTATCCAAACATCCAACATTGTTTGACTGAGCAGTTCATTTTTAGAAAATACATTTTTTCTTAAGTTGTGTATAAAGGATAAGTTGAGTTCTTTAATGGACATCAAAGCCATGTTTTATCAAATCATAGATAAAGAAGTTCTTAAAATACCCATATTGTAAACGTGAAGTTTATTATTTCTCCAAATAGAAATCTATTGAATCTAAAAGGCGAGTTATTTTGTTTTATAAATTGTGAAATTATCAATTAATGTTAATTAATATGCATATATTTTGAGTAACCACTTCACATAAGCTTAGTGACAGAATTTATAAATTTGATTTCCAACAAAATCGTTATTATTTGGAAGTAGAATGAATAATCTACATAATTATAAATTCTTTTGGAGTATGTGTGATTTTATTTTTATAGAGTATTTAGCAATTATTTTTGTGCAACAGGTGACATTTTCATTTCAGTAACTTAAATTATATTGTAATGAAGGAGAAGAATAAGAGAAAGACCCATGTATAAGGAGAGACTAAAACTTTAGCGATAAAAAATAAATCATATAAAAATAAATTCAGTCACATCATTTTCATTATCATCAACTTTCTTAGGCCACTCAATAAATTCAGTCAAATGTAATTGTCAGATTTAATGTTGAACAAACAGGTATCAAACTTTGTCCGACAACAGAAATATACAAAATATGTTTATTCCCCTCAATATACTACACATGTACACCTCCAATGGATATACCTTTTTTATGGCAAGTCATGAATAATATTCTTTTGATCTGTTTTTGCCCAAATGGCAAACTGCACTGACTGTTTTTACATGGTGTAAATAAGAGTCGACTTTTTTTTTTATTGATGTACTAGTGTCCCCCCCCCCCCCAATTTCTTTTCTGTTGTGCTATAAATCATAAGATGTTACAGAGTATTCACTATTGAAATGAAACTTCTGTGATATGTTTAACTATTTTGTTTTTGAGAATGCAATTTTCCCCAATGTTTTGGCATGTCTGACCTAATAATTATCAATTCCATTAGTATTATATTTCTTTTGCTCCAAGACTACCTATATGACATTACATTTATAATGATTTTTAGCTAGTCTGAAGCCTGCATCTTCAGTTATACACTGTTGAATTTGGTTTCTGGCACAATAACACACAAGGTGGAAAATTGATAAACAATAGCCATAACTTTGTGGCAAATTGAGCTATCAACATAAATTTGGTACCATTGTTTTTATGCTTTGTCTAGCTCTCTATACCTGTATTAAAAGAAGTTTTTTTATATATATATATATATATATATATATATATATATATATATATATAAAACAAAATTTTAGTTTGGGATACCTATTAATAGGCCCTGTGTAGCCATCATGACAAAACAAGCCTCGATTACCCTTATCTAAGAACTGTGCATCTTTCATTGGGACCTTTCAGAGTCTATCTTCTAACCTTTTTGTACCTAAAATGTAAAATAATTTTTAAGCAATTAATGACAATGGTAAAATTAGTTTCTACAGGGGAAACATTTGGAATTCATTGATCGATCAGTTAGTACTATTACTGGTTGAAATTTATAAAATATTTTTCTTAAAACAGTTTTCCAGCAAATAATACAAGTTGACAGTTATCACACTTTCTAGTAATGGGAGTTTTCTTCCCTAACTTTTTGTTTAAGGTTATATAGAAAGTAAACATCATTATTACACCATTGGTGCATTTACTTGATCGATGCAGAGATGTACTGGTTTTGTTATATTTAGTACAAATGTCACAGCACATGAAGTTTTCATCTAAAAAGCAAAGGCATTTGTATTTTGTGAGCTATTGCTTGAGAAAAGTTAGCTTTTATTTTTCTGGATGAAGAAGTAGAGTGCAGACTAATTAGATTCGGTAAAAGAGGAAGCAGACATAAGTACAGACTATGTTGAGTTACTCCTGAATTTCCAAGTAGGCTCTGGAAGGGGTTCAGATGTAGAAAAAGTAGAAAATCCAGCTGCAGGAGTATGGTGGCCAGCAGTGGGTTTTTTTTCTTCATTGGCATCCTCATCACATTTCCTTCCAATGTTCACTTGGGGAAAATGAGATTTGTTTGAAGCATGATGCAAATTTTGAACATCACAAAATCATGTTGTCATTCATTTCATCAGAGCTAAATTTAAAGTGTGTAGTTTGGGGATGAAAGAAAGTCAATTTTTCTAATGTCTGTAAAACAAAGGAAAGAGTAAAAGGAAAGCAAAAAAAAAAAAAAAAAAAAAAAAAATTGTGAAGATCACAGAGAAAGAGGAAATAGAATAGGGAGGGAATAAATTTTTATAGCAAAAGATATATTCAAATATTAATGATTAAAAATTTGTTTATTTTGAAAAGTAAGATTATTTTTTAACACAAAATGCTTGTTTTTACTGACATTTTCCTTACTATCTTGACTAAATATGTTTTTAGATGTGCCTGTGTATCTCTACAAGAGGCTTGGTTTTATCAGCCCTCTGGAACACATTTTAGATTGTTTAAATAAAGTAATGTATTCCCCAGGAAAGTTTTGTCAGTTTCATTCCCCAACGTGAAGACAAATACATTAATTAAAGTTTATATTTATTTGCATACTTGGTTGGTAGTTGTGTTTGAAACTAGGAAAATGACATTAGTCTGACAGGTTTCTACTTATTTGACTATCATGTCAACTGGAACGGATACTACAAAGTTGAGTATATATTATCATAGCTAATCATAAATATATCTCCTCTCCTACAACAAAACAGGTTTTATAATATATTGCACAACAAAATGGTTAAAAAAATATATCTACTAATTACCATCAATATCTATCAGTTTATTTGATAAAAGATTCACTCAGTTACATATATATATTTTAAATTATACATTAACGCATCATTTGGAATGTTGTCTTTGTTTAGTAGCAACAAACAAAAATTCCTTTTACTATCCTATATCTGTTGCAGGTTGGTTGTGTACAATATATCTTTTTCCATAAGAAAATTAAGGTGTGTCCCTGGGATGCAAAGATAAGGAGTTTACAGTGCCCTTTTAGATTTTTATTCATCAGTGACATGCATCTAGTAGTATCTCTTAGAGTTGTATGATTACATGTCATGTTTTTTTAAATACTGATGATTTTTTACATTACAAGATATTTTTTATTTATTTTTTTAGGACAATTTTAATCATTTATATAATGAATAAAGAAATATTTTGAAATTTAAACATTGATAATAAATACTAAAATGAAAATAGCATATTTATTGCTTTGAAATAACTGACAGATGATCATTTGAAGTGATTAATCTTACAAAACAGTGGTTCAATTATTCTTTCATGGAATGAAGTCTTGAAAAGATAAACACTCATCAAAATGTATTGATACTTTAAGTTATGCTGCTGTTTAATTGAAGAAAAAAAGTTGTACTTACAATTCATAAAACTTTAGGACATTAGAAATTATTTTAAACATTTAAAATATGTTAAGTCTTATGATGTATTTCTGAGTTATAAAATTCTGACATCACAATCAGCTTAGTTTATTTAGACTTCAATACCTCAGCATATTGGCCATTAATGAAAGATGATATATCAGTTTGTAAAACCCCAAAGAGAGTAACTGATCAACTGGAAAGCTTCTTGAGAGAGAACAGAGAAACTATAAGAAATGCTATATTCAATTCAGATAAATAAGAATCAATTTCTGGGATACTAGTCTCTAGGACATCACAGCATTGATAGTTTGTCTTGCATTTGAAAAGTAATATTTTTAAATAATTGATATCTAAAGTATGTATTCAACAATTTAAAATAATCCTTCAAGGAGATAAATGGCAATTCCTTAAATTTATAATTGATATGAAGAAATCAGCCAAAATTATTATTTATGTGTATATTTCAAACTTATAAATACAGTTACCTTTGTTGGTTTTCCCTCAGTTGCTTTATAAACTTCATCTTTGAAAAATTCAACAAGGTCTTCATCAGAAAGAATGTGATTTCCTGAAAAATAAAAAAAAGCATATAAAAAAAAAAAAAAAAAGAAGATTTTTAAAGAAATTTAAGTGAAACATTCTAAAGAAAATTCTGTTTGAAAAAAAAAAAAAAAAAAAAATTCAAATGAGCATTTATAATTTTCTAACCAGTTGTCATCGATATAAATAAGAAAGCAAAATTTGTTTTAATAACATTACAAGGAAAGTTAAAGTAAAATAACTATCACAGAATAATAAAAGAGGAAGAGGGGAAGGAATCATCTTAACTTTGACAATATCATTAAATTTTGATATTATGACAATGCAGATATCGCATCAGTAAGGATTTTGAAAATTTCAACATTGTAAAATTTGCTTTTGAAAAAAAAAAAAAAAAAAAAAAAAAAAAAAAGAAGCTAGCTAAATACTGGTTGTAATCAAGCTTGAAAAGTGTTACTATCTGATTTTTTTGAAAACTTACTAACTCTTATTTGCCAAAATAACTCCAGCTTATTTAAGGATTCAGCAATAATACAAGAGTTAAAAAGCAGAAAAAGCAAGTATATGCTTTATACAACATGATTTTGTGATGAGTATTGACAAGATATATTAGTAAAAACATCAAAATGTAATTACACATTAAAATATTTGATTTATAAAGTGTAGAATGGCACTAAATCATCCAATTTGAAAAGTGTGATACAAATCGAATACTTAATTTTAAAATTAAACATTTTAAGAATTTTGGTGATTTTCTGGAGGAAGTGGGATTCTGCTCAGAGTCATACAATTGCTATTGGCAATCTATTTTGTTTGCTTTGATAAGCATCTTTTCATATTGTTGAATGGCTATCTTTTTTAAATTGCAAAAAGAAATAAAAGGAAACCATAAATTGCTTCTATAAACATCCACCTTAGAAGTATATTGCAAATTTAACATAGCTATGGCTATCTAAAAATGAATGCATTAATAAAATTATTTGTAATATACTTTTTGTTCAAAATTATTTTCAAAATAATTTAGTAAGATTAATACAGCTGAGTATTGCTATTAAACAATAAATTTGTTGTTCATCCAATTTAAAGACAATTGTTTTACATGGCAATGGTGTTAGTTATTTATTCACACTCTCACAACAAAAGTCACAAGACCAAATGATATTAAACAAATAATTCAACCTATCCTACCTGAGAAACATGATGGGAAAATAGTTTCACTCTACATAGAACTAACCAAGTAATTGCAGCAAAATAGGCTGGTTCTAATAAAACATCCACTGACATAGTTAACTTTAACAAAATTTACTTTACATATATGCATTTGGATAGTAATCACCTGTTAATGCTTATTTTGTGAAGACCATAGACAAAGAATGCTTAATATTTTAATTAGCTTTTTTTGGTTACAGACAAGCACATATATATGAATTCAAAGAGTGTAGGTATTGACTAAATGTTTGGGATTCTTGCCATTATTAGGATGAAAAACCTTAAAATCGCATTTAACATTTTTTTCACTTTATAAAAGCATCTCTAAAATCTGAACCAGTTTTATAAAATGTTGAGTATTTGGTGCATATTAATAAAAAATGTTGAGTATTTGGTGCATATTAATAAAAAATGTTGAGTATTTGGCGCATATTAATAAAAATACCAATACTTAACTGTCTGTTCAACACTATAAACAGCACTTTAACAAGTTAATCTAAATTATAGAATGGTATGGCCAATATACAAATTTGATTAGTCACTGGAATTTTGAATCTTTGAACAGATAGCCTAGTGAAGAACTGGATTTATCTTATGCATTACATCCTCATTAAAAAACAAAAAAACATTTATAGCTTTGTCCTTAAATTTTAGGATCTCTAATCTAGGTAATGTCCAGGGGAATGAAAATGATAGATCACACACACCTTTTGACAATCACAACACAATGGAATTCAGATATTTTCTTGTATGTAAAACTAAAATAAAAATAAAAAACATCACTCTTTGTCTATGCTGTAATAAGGAGATATGATAGAATGCTGGAAAGTTTTGGGCTTAATCCACGTCCAAAAATGTGCCCAAATAACTAAAAATTGTTCAAATTGAGAACTTGTGGACACAGACATACCCAAATGGATCAGCCAATAGCCACCTGACAGTTATTAACTGAATTTTGTCTGGATATTTTCATTTTATGTTTAACATAGTAACATTGGAATAAGGGCACTGACAATGAAAATTATGATGAAAAATGTGTAAAATAAATGCATTTTCTATCATTAAGTTAAACTTGAGTATAGTGCAAGTTTTTACCATTTTTTTATGTAAAAAAATAAATATAGTGGGGTCACACAGGTAATTGGGGAGGGGGGAATTCATGTTAAAAAAAAAAAAAAAAATTCGGGGGATTGTATTATACACGAATTTGGCTTACACATGAATATACATGGCAAATTAAGTCTTTGTAAAGAATTAAACCTTTACTTAATCAAAAAGTGAATTCCTAATGCAAAAAGAAAAAGATATACACACATAAAACGGGCAAGGGATATGTAGTCTTAATTATATATTAATATAGTTAAATTTCCAGAAAAAAAAAAAAAAAAAAAAAGGTATTGAGCAACTCATGTTGGTAAAATTTTTTAGGATACTCTTATATGAGCAATAGATAAATGTGTGTTTCAGCTTATATCTTTCATTAGTAAAAATACCAAGGATATATTTTGTAGGTGTCAGGTTTTATTACGCAAAATATTTTTTTAATTTACAAATAAATCTAAAAGATATAGCTGATAAACATTTATACAACATCCCACATATATGAATAAATTGTCCCATTATTTTACCTGTTAACTTTTATCACTGTTTATCTTTGAAAGTTTATTCTGCCACTGAAGGTGATTAATCCCTGAATCTGAATTTGTTTGAATTTCATAGTTGTGTTGCTAGCAACAGAGAACACCTTTGAGAGAAATTAACAATAAGGTTATAATACAATTGAGAGACCTTGAAAAAGAATGCAGTGGAAAGTGAAGTAATATTAATAATACAGAGTGCTAATGGTTAATATGTGCTCCTAGATATTTTATAAACTTTATCAGTCTTTCATCCATTGATTTTGTTCACTTTTTCTATAGTTTCAACTTTAACACTGCATCAGTTTTTAGTATTTCCCAAAAATGATCTTTGCTTGAATATTGGCTTCCATTCCCATATATATCTCTCAATGATAAATTAGAAATTTTTGATTGGATCAATATCTGGAAAGACTGGAGGGCCCATTTAATTTGGTGCCTTTGAAACCATGTTTGAAAAAGTGTGTAATCAGTTTTGTGCAATATGAAAGAGCACTGTATTGCATTCTATAGAATTTAAAAGCTTAGCACTCAAAAACCATCTTATCAAAGAACTTACAATAATTCTGCATTTTATCTTAGCACCAACATCACTGATTTTAATGTCTGTAATACAAGCTCAAAACATTACTCCACCTTCACACTGTAATGAACTTAGCCACATTGACTATTTCAATAAAAGACCCAACCTATAGCCTCATCAATAGCTCTACATTCACCACTAAAAATTACTAGTATCCATTATATAATAATCAGTTCTCATGTATTTCTTCAACAAACTTATGTTATTTATGATTTTTAATTAAAATGGTGACTAATTTTTTAACCTTTTGCAGTATTCTTTGTCAGGTTTTATCTTAGCAATATTTCCATTTTTTTTTTTATTGTTCTTTGATCTGTTGAACTTTTTTGAAATCTCTTTTCCAATCATTCAATTTTACAATATCTTGTTTTGCTTTTGATAATTATCTTTCTTATAACCAATAGCAATCCTTACATATCTTAAATTAATAAATATCATCCATTATGCTATATATTTAGAAGAGGAGGAATAAGTTGCATAATAAAATCTTACATCCTCAAATAACTTGCATTGTAGAGTAACAATGAAATAAGAAATTTAAAAGAATGAATGAATTTGATCAAAATCAAGTCCAGTATTGGAGTAACCAAAACTCATTTTATGCCTAAACAATTTGACATTCTCTAAATGTAAATCTATAGGTGATTCATTAAAGTGCAATGGTTAGTATGCTAGCCTTGTTGTTTATCATTACTGGGTACAGGAGGAGATCCTCACTGAGTGATCCTAAACTTGTGGCTTTGTGCCAAAACTAAGCTATGTTTAATGACTAGATGTAAAACAGCAATTGTTACTAAGACAATGTATAGTGAAGAAAATCTGCTACTACCTTCATTATTTCATTTTTTAAAAGAAAAAAAGACTTTATAAAAATGCAAAATAACATCATGCATAATAAGTGTATATTTACAGAAACAATGTAACTTTTATATTCATTTAAGATGCCCTTTATATGTTAAAATGTGTTTTCTACAAGGTAGCCAAGATATAAAATTAAATGTTAAACAGGGCACAAGAAGAAGACTAGCAAATAGACACAAGGAGAATGATTAGAGACGGTCATATTTGGTCATATTTGGAACAGTATGAATAATAACCAGAACTAAGTGAACACTGTACTGATAAACAAAACAAAGAAAAACATATGCATGATTCAATGAGAAAAGCTTAGATTAAATTTGGTACAAACACTTGAAATCTGGTCAGAAATCCAAATTTTTTTTTTTTTTTAAGCGTTTCACCCCAAGCAAGGCGGGAAGCCACTAGAATGCAAGTGGTTACAGAAAATTTGGAGCAAGATCAGATAGGAGTGATAGAAGAAAGGATGAAGAGAAGAGTAGTGGCTAGATCAAGGCAACTGGAGATGTTGATTGACATTACATTTGAATAGCTGGAGATTATAGCTCTCAGGGAAACTGGAATAGGGAAGGGAGTTCCACAGGCGAGAGGTGCGAGACATGAAGATATTGGAGTAGAAGAGACGGCTACATTTAGGAGTTTCGACAGTGAAGGGGTGAGAGCAAGATGCCAGCCTTGTAGGGCGCTTGAACTAATGAAGTCTGGGAACCAGCGAATGCAGCTCCTCGGAGCAATTGCCATGAAAGTATTTGTAAAACAGACAGAGAGAGGTGACGACGCGTCTGTGAGAAAGTGACTGTAGACGAGATGCCAGATCAGGGCTAATTATATTGCATATCCACCTCTGGAGCCTATCAAGAACCCTGAGGCAAACAGAATCATATATGGCAGCAATACTCCATGCAAGGGCAAGTTGTTGATTTGCAGATCTGGAGGATTGATTCCGGGGAGAAAAATTTCCTGGCGCGGCACAGGGAGCTAACTTTCCTTGCAGTGGACGAAGCAATTGACTCAATGTATTTGTTCCATCCAATTCCTGCCCCAGTTCACAACCGATTGGAGGTCGTTTTTGAGACGCACGGTCAGGTTAGTTTTGTCAGTGACACTAGATTTGTTTTGAATGTGAGCAACAAAGGCAATCAGCAACTGACAATGTTAGACTCAGAAGATCTGGAGATTTCATAGATTTTTCTGAATATCCAACCATTTTCAATATTTTGACTGCCTGTTCTTGTCATGTGCAAGATATTTTGGTAAAACATCACATTACTTTTGAAGGGAGATTTTAGATGATACAGGAGATTAAAACATTAAGGCAACTGATGATTACCCCTTTAAAAAAAAAAAAAAAAAAAACTTTGCAGACTATTTTGAGAATGGCCAGGTAATTTCTAGACATTTATTTGTATATTTGAGTTTCTGTAGCAAACTGAGCATTTTGAAAACAAAGTTTGACAAAGATTAAATTATTTTATATAACATACTGACAATATTAAAATTTAAGTCAGCATTTTAGAATTTGTTATAAGTTCATAGTATAAAGAGATTTCCATTATTGAAGTTGTTTCTCCTTTTTTGAAAAAATAAAAATAGAGGCATGTTACAGGTTATTAAATTTAACATAGAAACAATTCAGAGTTTTAATGTTGAAGGTTTCTGTTGAGAATTTTAAGAGTAGAATTGATTTTCTTAAGATTTATAATATTTTCATTTGGAAAGAAGAATATTTTTATACATTACTTAAGAATACATCAAGGCTTCATTGGAGAAAAAGGTATATCAATAATAGGCATTCCTATTAAAATGTTCATAAAAATTAAGTCTTTGATATAGATTGCTTTTTTTAAAGTTTATTTTAGAACTATGGAATTTAATCAATCATAGATATTATTCATGCTGATAAAATAAACTTAGTATTTTTATTCATAATTGCAAATCAGAATGTCATCTCTCATAATTTTTAATGCCCTATTGTTGATGGTTCTTACAATTAGTTTTGAGAGAGAAAAAATGAGAACATAATATCTTGATAGGGAGATATGATGGAAGACATCTGAGAAGTTTTTCAGGTCAAAGAGATTTCTTGTAATGACCTGTGTTAATATTTTCCAGCTTATGTAAACTAGTATTGTCAATCAATGGAAGAGAAATTTAAAACATAAATTATACTTAATTACATTATTGGCTATAACGTTGAATAGAAGAGTGTGTGAAGTCAAATGTGGGCTAATTTGAAAAAAGGAAGTCATTTTTACTCGGTCACATTTGTTTACAGATTTAAGTTCACAGTATTTCCGTTTAAGAGTTCTTCTCAGAAGTAACAATTCATAATCAACATACATTTTTATAGTCTTCTTTTTAATAGTTTTTAGTTAAAAATACTGTAGTTAGCAGTGTGGAATGTTTTTAATTTTAAAAATTAAGTTTTATTATCACTTTATGGATTTTTACTTTTCAGTATTTTGGTGCAATAATTTTCGTTCTTTATTATATATATATAAAAAAAAAAGCTTGAATGATTGTAGAATTTTATTCATGTATTTTCACTTTTCTCTATTTATAAAAATGTTTTTTTGAAATGATTTGATACACTGGTTACAAGTATAACCGTTTTTACTTTTTAATGCCTACTTGAAAATAAAAAGGCTATTTGGGAAGTAAAATGAAACTAAAAATACTAAAACTTCTAATTTCCTATGCTTCTGTTTTGAAGGAATAATAAAAAATGTCAAGTCACTTATTATACACTATTTTGAAAAGAAAAGCTAGCAAACTGCAAACTAAAGGGTAATAAAGACTAAAAAATGTGAATCCATCATTCATCTAAATTAAAAGTCTTATTCTGCTCTCTAACAAGGAAAGGTATTTTTAGATTAAGACCATAAATTACTTACTTCAACTTTACAAAGTTTGCATTCGGAGCAACTACAATGCTTTTTAAACAATCATTAAATAATAAAAACAACGTATCCAACAAAATTTTATTAAAACATTTTTAAAAACTGTCATAAATGTTTTACTTTTAAAAGATAGTAATGCTGACAACAGAACTTATTTAAGTTTTTTAAATCCACGTGTAATGTTTGCAACGAGAGAATACTGTTTATTAGCGTTTTTTTTAAGTTTTAAGAGCGAAATCAAAATTATTTAAAGTAAAGACTTGGCATTGAAATGAAGTTTTCTTTGTAGTAAACAAAAGTTTTGCCAAAGCTGTAATCAGTAGAACAAACAACAACAAAAAAAAACAACAAAAAAACAAGCGATTCTAAAAACACCACCTGAGCTTTAAACACTTCAGTGGGTTGACAGTATTTTCTATGGAAGGTACATCTAAAATAAAATCAGTTACTACGTATTGCAGGCGTCAATCCGAATCTCCTCCCTTGACGAAACATAAGGCAGCACGGGTAGATGATGATGATGATGATAATAACTCTTCAGCAACCAAAGTAAAACCAACAAGTGTAATTTACAGAACGCAATTTCAACATAATACCTAGAGCCGATCATTGTATTTGCAGCAGAATATAAAAAATTAAAAAATAAAACAAAAAAAGGTCTCTCTAAGAGGGCAAAGGCAAGTTAATGTTATTAATTTTCTGATATAATCAAACCACAAATTAAACTTTTGTTTGACTGCTTAATTTAACACAATCTGAAATTAATCTAAAAATCTGTTTAAACGATAATGAGTTCAACAAAACTTTTTCTTTCAGAAAAAAAATTAATAGTAAGAAAATGTCGAAATCAGCCTTTTAGTGGCGATTAATAAGAAATAAAAAAAATAAGGGGCAGACAACTGCGTTATGGCAAACAAAATTTAGTGAAGAGCAAAGGCGCAGGTCAGAGAACTACGGATTTTTATGTGGTTACACCCCTAAATCAATGCTAGGTATAAATAAATATATCTTCAAAGATATAAAATGAAAATTAAGAGAAAAATATATTTAGATGTCAATAACTATTCCATAATTATTTAAAGCAGACATCGGAAATTAATTCAGATCAAGTACGTTCCACGGAAGAATTTTTTTTCGGGTGGCCGGTGTATTGATTAGCCTAATCACTAAAATCAACCCTCAACAAAAAAATTTCAAGAAATACACCAAGTCTGGTATTAACTATTAGAGATTGAATGAAAAATTATAATTATTTAATTGAATAATGTTTTTTTTTAATTTAAAATGTGTTAAGCCCTCAATATTGTTGACTGAACTACAGTAGGAATATTGCCTTGTTACTGGAATTTAATTATTTCAGTAATTTTGTAATATATTCAGAAAATCTAATAAAAACAAGGTAAAAATGCACGGAAAGAAACCGTGGAAAACTCAGCAAATATTTTAATATAATGAAATTAAAATAATTCGATATATTGTTATGCAGTAGCAGTAGTCATAAAAAATAACAACAAATATAGAGGTAAATAAAAACTCACCTAATAGTGCAGCAAACAGACAAAAGCGACTAAGGTGAAGATTGAGACACTTAGCTATGTCGTCCATGATGTATTCCTTAGTTTCTAGTGAGCCTTTGTAAGTAAGTTTGAGGTTATTGGAACAGAAATACCGCGGTGGGTCAAATATTGCGTACATCGAATCTTGAGCTATAATCCCTTGTAGTCCATGCTCTCGGCAATAGCCGATCACTTCTTGGTGGTGGTCGTCCATCGAACAAGCAACGGTCACATTCAACTGGCGTAAAGCCATACGGAGAGAACCCCTTAAAAATACGGGCGGCGTCCACCAAACCTTTGGTGGTGGAGTACCCTTGTTATTGACATGCTTAGCCACTAAGTTTGCTTTCTTTCTTTGATTGTGCTGCTCGGTAGACCAATCGTCTAAACTTTGACTTTCCAGAGCACCGTTGAAGAAGACAACTAACTCCATGTTGGCACTGTGGCAAGCTTGCACTAAGCTGGAAAGGAAGCATGTCATGCGGTTCCACTGTCCACCACATACCCAATCAGAGAAAAAGCCACCATAGAGGCGGTCTAGGCAACTCTCTGCATCTACAACAAGACAAAAACGGCCAGATTCTCCATACTTGAGGCGACGTTTTGGTACAAATCCACGAGAGATCTTTAGTAAATCCACTGAAACACATGCACTCGAGCAGTGTGCTTCTAAAAACTCTTGTAAAACTTTGATACCCATAATTTTTCAGCGGTTTAAGTTTATCCCCCTTAGTTACAGTTATCTTGGTTTTTAACAAGACGATATCTTTTTTGGTTCCAATCAGCCCCGTCCAATCTGCTGCCTAACTCATGAAGATGATAAAAGAACAAAACTAGAAAGAAAATAAAGATAATACGGGCACGTTGGCACCCTCTAAGTAACTACCATGTGCGCCTTCCTTCCTTCGAGCCGGACACGGCGGCAGGGTTCTTACAAAGTTCCCGGATGGATGGTATCCCATAATAGTCTCACCAATTCTCATAGTACTTAATGCAAGCGGCGGTCGTCAGCCGAATCCCAACAAGGTTTATTTTTACAGCATTAAAAAAAATATTATAATAAAATAACAAATTTAAAAATTAAAAAAAATGTATTAAAAAATCCAATAAATAAATAATTTAATAATTTCATTATTTTTATTATTGTGAAAACTACTTGATATATTAATAATTTAGAACCAAATCAATATATTTTTCTCCAAAAAAATAGACAATAAAAAGTTTTTAAAAATAAATTTAAACTTGTATGTTTTAATTTAATTCTAACAATAAAATCCCAGAAACATCAACAATGAAGTTTTAATACTTTACTGCAACAGAATTATTTAATACAATTTATAATCATAAACAAGTCAAAATATATGTATTCTGACAAAAGTTAATTTTGTCAGAATTCATATATTTTAACTGATATTTGAATTTATTAAATGAATATGTAATATATTTTCATAAAAATATTTTAAAGGATGTCAAGTAAGTATTTTCATAAAAGAAAATACGTTCTCTATTTTAGTATAGATCTCATCAGGTAAATGTGATATTGTTATAGATAGAAAATATGGATGGATAAAATTAGTTATTTTAGTGAAAGGAAAAATGTAATGTGAATAGTTCATTAATGGGACTAGTTAAGAGTAGAATATAATAATGATGTCGATTATTTTTTAGTTATCAACCCTTTGAGGGTTATTTAAAGTTAGAACATATCAGGGGTGTGTCTGGGGGTGCGTAGAGTGTGCTATCCCCACCCCCACTAAAATTTGTGAGAAAATATTTTTTGTTGCAAAGTAGATAAGGTAAGCTAATACCACCATGTATTAGCGTAGAAGTAACCAAACTTAATCAATAAACAGTACATCAAAGTCTTTTTAGGAGTTGGTATATCTATAGTGATTTGGGGCCTAAAGGTTAAAATGAACAGTTGATTTATCCATACCAGGAAGATTAATGAAGGATGATAATGACAAGAAAACACAGGGGTATTTTCTAACAAATCAGCTATTTATTCACAAGTTTACATGCTTAAAAGCAAATTTTACATAGGCTTGCAAATTCCTTTTTTTTCAGCTCACTGGTCAATTTCTGTGAAGGCAAGGTTTTCATTGGTGCAAAGAAAAATTCACATAGGCTTGTGAATTCCTTTCCCTCTTCTTCCTCAGCCCTCCAAAGTTGAATAGAGTGGGTGAAGAGAGTTATTATTATTTTGCACTCACTATGTACCTTTATAAATAGATTGAATTCAGTTATTTTTTGCTTTTTTTTTTAGAATTTTTTATTCTGAAATTACTTTGTGCATATTTTAACTGATGTGCCTTTCACATTCAGTATTTGTCAATTTTTACTGTATGAATAGTTAACATTTTTAATTGCACACTTCAGATATATTTTCCTTTAGTTGATCACATGATCAGCATTTAACTTCATCTTGCTAATGATGAATTTTTGCTGAAACTATAGTGTGTTAGAAAGATTATTGAGTTTCTTTTGGGTTATAAAAGATGACTAACCAAATTCAAATTCTTGAGATTGGTGATCTGTTTCTTCACAGAATTTATGTATGAACTAAAAACAGCCTTATGTTGTTTGAACAATTGAACTCATACATTTAAAAAGATATAATAGATTTTCTTCCAGTTGGAAAAAATAAAAAAATAAATTTGTCACTTCCTGTTTATAATTTGATTTTCACATTCTTTATGTTGTAACCTAGGGAAGGTTACTGAATAGAATAATCACAGGGAGGTTGGTAATGAACAATAATACTTAGGACAAGAACAACACATATAAGATTTGCCAGTAGTGCATAGAAGTAATCAACTGCTAGAAGTGAGTCAAGTGAATTCCACAATGAATCTCCATCTGCAGACCAACATACAATATTTACCACTATATTTATGTGGATGTGAACATACCCATTTTCATTCGTACGTAGGTATGCTACAACACTTTATGAAACAGTTGATCAATAATGAATAATAATAATGAAATATAATTTCCGTTAATGAATAAATATATAATAAAAATGTTATTGGCTTTATCTAAAACAAACATGCAACTGGAATAAATGTCCATTAATAATATGATATCAACTCACTCTTTTTACTTATAATTCATATACAATTCAAATGATGGAATTACCATTTCTATTTATTTTAGAAAATACTAGCAAATTTTCAGAGAAGAATGCAGCGAAAATAATGAGATTTTTGTTGAGAAAGTTAGCACTGGTAGAACATGAAAAATACTGTAATTTTTCACTACCAAAAAAACAGGAAAAATTTGCTTTGAAGAAACAGTAAATATTCTGATTAAAATTTTTAGCGAGAAAAGTTTGTTATTGAATACTCATTGGAAGTGTGTGAATCTGATGAAAAAAAGAAAACAAAGAATTTGTCACATATGCTGGAATTGTTGACAAGCAGTGTAAAAGATTCAAATTAAACAAACTGACTCTGGATATGTTTAAAGGATTAATTTTCATTCAAGGGCTAATGGTGAAAAAAGACACAGAAATATGTGCTAGAATTCTAACGGAACTTGAACAGAAACAAAAACTAACACTACAAGAAATATTGGTTGAATGCCAGAGAATCCTAAATGCAATATGAAAGAAATTGAAGAAAAAGAATGCACATACATATATGCTAAAGAAAAATGTGGAAAAAGAAAAAATAATTCATGTTTCAGATGTGGAAGTTTACATCTTGGAGAATTCAAAGTGCTAGAAGTGTGAAAAAGTAGGATATAAAAAGTAAAACTAGAACAAGGACAAGTTCTTACAGAAAACTTTTGTACACAGCATTAGAAAAAATAATTACAGTAAACCAAAGAAAATTTTTGTATATGAAAATTAATAACTGGTAGTGATATCACAAGCTGCATAAAAGCAAACAGAAAACCAATATTAAAAAGAACTTAAAAAATTGCTTGTGATGTGTTGGATTATTTTTTATTGGTGAAATGACTTGTAACGTTTCATTTTGTTGGAAGTGTGTAAAGTCTAAGGCTTATGTGTTAAAAATACTATAAACTTATTTGGTACTGACTGGATGTAATTATTTTAGTTGTGGGATTTACCTATAAATATTTAATGCAAAGATGTAGGTGAACCGGTGATCAGTTTAAAAAAATTCGAAAATGTAAAGGAAGAATTGATAAAATGTCTTCATGATGTTTTGTCAGATGAGTTGGGTCAGTGTTACAAAGTTAAAGTGAAATTTCAAGTGAAAAAAGTGTCAACGTCAATGTTTAACCGAAACATAGTGTACTGTTCACAGCATTTGATCAAGTCAATGAAGAATTAGACAGACTTGAAAAAAAAAAGTGTAATTGAAAAGATTGACCATTCAAAATGGGCAGCACCAGCAGTGTATGTAAAGAAAAAATAATAAAATTCGTGTTTGTGCTGATTTTTCGACAGTGTTAAACAAATGTCTCGAATCCCATAACTACCCATTACCAAGTACAGAGGAAATTTTTGCAAATTTAAATGATGGAAAAGTTTTTTGAAACTGAATCTTTCTGAAGCATATTTGCAAATACAGGTTAAAGATGAATGTTCAGAGTTAATAACTATAAATATGCACAAGGGATTGTATAAGTTTAATCAACTTCCTTTTGGGATAAAAGTGGCTCCAGCTATATTTCAACAAGCTATGGATACTTGCAGATTGTGATTTTACAGTTGCTTATCTGGATGATATATTATCTAAAAGTGTCTATTATCAATTTATGGTTCGAAAAAAGGAATTCTTACATGTAGTGAATAGATTACAATGTTGGGGTACCATCTTATTAAATTACGATTTCAGGACGGAATGCCAACCGTCCCAAAAATAAGGACATGCTGTTGGTTTATCAAGATTGATACCAAAAAATACTGAACCATTTAAGGACACTGTTATTGCTGCATTAAAAAGTGAAATAGAAATTAAAAATATATTATGCAATGTAGTACGCGAATTACCAGTTACCCTGGAAGAAATAAAAGTAAAAGCAGATCAAGACATGTTTATTTCGAAAATAAAGATCAACTAAAGGAAAGTAAGAAAGATGATTTTTAGAATGCAATTGAGACTTGAACACTTACTCACTATGTGACAGAGTACTGATGTTTGCAAAAAGAGTAGTAATACATATATTACAAAAGTGGATATTAAATGAATTTCCTAGTGGACATCTGGGACCTTCAAGGATAAAATCTCTTATGAGAAGCTATGTATATTGGAACAAAATGAATTAAGATATTGAAAAATTAGTAAAAGCCTGCAGAACTTGTGCTCTGGTAACAAAATCAGCTACCACAAAATTACAACCTTGACCAAAGACAGATACTCCATGGCTAAGACTGCACATAGAGTTCGCAGGTCCAATAAATGGTTCATATTATCTTGTGGTAGTGGATAGCTTTACTAACTGGCCTGACATTTGTAAGTGCAAAAACCAACTGCCACAGTTACAGTGAATTTTTGACACAAACTATTTGCAAGATATGGCATTCCAGATGCCATTGTGATGATGATCATCATCACACACATACATACATACTTATGCAAATTCAAATTATACAACCACAAGCATTCATTGGATAGTAAATCAACACTACTGACAATTTTATAATTGCTATATTTTCATGTAGTCGATTTCATACATTTTTGGGAGAATCGGATCCCAGAAGCTTTTCGTGAGTCTCCTTAAAGCTCGCTCACTGATTGGTCAATGCCAACCAATCAGATTGTTTGCACGCGCAGCACTTTCGGAGCTGATGACCACCTATATAAGAAAAGAAAACCCTTAGTAAACCAGTGAGATCTCAGCTGCCACAGCAATCTACGACAGTTGAAATCATGCACCAGTCTTCTCATTCACACCACCACTCACATGCTAAATATTCCCTATACTCAGATAATATTTTTTCTTATACAGCAAAACTGTTGAAAACATTTATTACCAGAAATTATTA